ACGACTCTGCAGTTTTAGCCTCAGTTGCTGTTGCTCATGTTGCTGTTGTAGCTGTGGCTGTTGCTTTTGCTGCTGCTGCTGCTACTGCCATGTTGCTCGAGTGCTGTCGCTGTGGCAATTTGTATAGCCATAGATGCAATCGCTGTACCAAATTTTAACACCATTAACTGACCAGCGGCAAGTTTTTTTTTTTATTTTCCATTTAGTTTTGCCGTTTTGCGAGGCTTTTAGCAGCTCTCGGCTTGTTTGTCTCACTTTGCTGCATATTTTCGCGCCTAATTTGCGCCGAATCGGGATCGTGCGGCGGCATGGGGCACACACAGCCCCACCCGAAAGCCTGGCTAAAACGCAGCTGGCCCCGAATTGTGGGTGCCTGTCGCAATATCTAGATAGGCAGCCAGCATAGGATAGTTATGCTAAATGGTGCTCACTGGGCAATTGCTTTGTGGACCGCACAACCGCAGAACATTTTCAACAGAAAGATGATTGATTGCAGTCAAAAGGGAGGATGGAGAGGTGCTATACCCCCCTCAATCTCATTCGCAATCAACAGTTTTGTGGTCAGCGAAATGTGAGCCAACATCATTGGCAGTGGCAGAAGTGACAAAACAGCAACAAAATGTCATAATTGATAGTGCAACATAGCGAGACAGAGATAGAGATTCAACAGGAAAATAAGAGTCCCGGTCTGGGGGCTGGGGCTGGATTAAGCACAAATTGTGTTTATGCTCAACACATAGAAACTGTGACAAGTTAATATACGAGGAGCAACAAATCCGATTATAGGCATGACTTGATTTCATTTGCATCTTGCCATGCGGACACCCTCTCCTCCACCCCTTGCTCCTGCTGCTCCTCCTTCTGTTACTACTTGGTTTCCTGCTCCCGTCCTAATTGCATCCCATGGACATAAAAATTAATTATAAATTCCATATTTGGCTGTGGTGGGGAATGTCGCGAGTGTTGCTGATTTTATTGTTATGGCCAACCAGTTCTGACTTTGCAGCTGGGGCAGTAGTTCCTTTGGTTGTGCCTGGCTATGGAGGAAAAATAAAAAAAAAAGAAAATGAAAAATAAAAAAAATCCAAACAAAAGACTCAAACAACGAAAGCGACCAAGTCAGCTATTCAGTTTAATTTAAATGGGTTTATAATTTATTTGATGGAGACCACACACACACACACACACACACACCTCCACATATCGCATATACCACAAATTATCTCGTGGCCAATTTAAAATGTTTAATTTAACATAAAAACCAACCAGCAGAGAGAGTCTTTGGAGCACATCGAAATAGAAATAGTAACCAAATCCAAATGAGTCTCCAAATGCGATAAATTTGTACAATAAAAAACAAAACTGATTTCCGTCTAATGCGATTGACACCTAAAACACAAACAAAACAAGAGGAAACGCTATAGTCGAGTGCCGCGACCATAAGATACCCGTTACTGTTTTACAAAATTTTAAAATATTATTTTGCTAGTGGAAATTCACAAGGCGCCACCTATTTTCAGAGGAAGTATGTTGAGTATGCTTATAGTGACGTCACTGCCCGTGTGAGGCCTTATAACCTTAATTTCTTCATAAATAGCGAAATAATGTTCCGATTTGAAAAATCTTTGGTAAATCGATAAATATTAACAAAAATAAGTTATACAAGGTCAAACGAAGGCATTCATAATAATATTATAGACGCCAAAGTTTTCCGCGGTTTGTGGGCGTCAGAGTAGGCGTGGCCGGATGCAACTTCGTAAAAAGTTGCAAAGGCATATCCTAAATACGTGATCCTAAACAAAATTATGTAGCTCTTATAGTTTTTGAGATTTTTGCATTTTTGGTTGTTCAGATTTTGTGGGCGTTAGAGTGGGCGTGGCTTGATCGAAAAAAAAACAATTCGCATTGGGAGCATAATAAAAAACCTACATGCTGAATCCGAACTTTCTATCTTTTATAGTTACCGAGATATCAGCTTTTCTAGAAAATCCGAAAACCGTCTTTTGAGCCTTGTGGGCGTATGGGTGGGTGTGGCCGGATAGTAGTACCACTATAAGATGCGCTGCCAATTAAAGATTATAATTTTTGAATTTCAACTTTCTAACTGCAATAGTTCCTGAGATTTCAGCAATTTTAGTTTTTTGCGATTTGTGGGCGTTAGAGTGGGCGTGTCAGGATGCTGTAATAAACTTGCGCTTTCCCGGGACCTCAAGAATCTTCATGCTTAATCTCAACTTTGTATCTGCTATAGTTCCTGAGATCTCAGCGTTCATACGGACGGACGGACGGACGGACGGACGGACGGACGGACGGACGGACGGACGGACGGACGGACGGACAGACGGACATGGCTCAATCGACTTCGCTATTGATCCTGATCAAGAATATATATACTTTATAGGGTCGCAAATGCTTCCTTCTATCTGTTACATACTTTTCAACGAATCTAGTATACCCTTTTACTCTACGAGTAACGGGTATAATGAAGGGAAAACCTAGTCGTTGCCCGCTTTGTTTCGCTTCATTTCTAATTCCAATTCCTGTTAAATCAAACAGAAAACAAAACAATACACAAAACACACGAAAATAAACCGAAATACAAGATACATAAATAATGTTATTAGCATAGGCACACCAAGCCATACCACACCACCATTTCGATTTGGCCGTAACTGTGGGACTGGTCAGGTCGGGTTGATTAGCTCATCACTTTAGGCCACTAAAAAAGACACTTCCAGCTGACACTGATTGGTCGCTGTGGTCCACAACTTGACAACGAGTAGTCAGCCCGAAAAGAAACTGTCGGCGCGAAAGAGATGCTCAGACATAGAGCCACTCAGAACTATATTTTTGTAAATATTTCGACATAATTGATACCTTATAATTGTATGGGATTTATAAATAATTTAATAATTTACCTTATCATAATCCTTACCATAATAACAACTTTATTAAGGTTTTTGATAAATCAAATGCTTTATTAGGTTCTTAATTTATTTCCCATTTAACACTATAATATAGCAGACCCAATATCCCCACCAGATACCGCGTTAACAAAAAAATAAATAAATAAATGATTTCTTTTAGGCCTTATAGAGTGGGCAGACACCGACTGTCTGTTTAGAGACAAACTGTCATTATTTATGGAATTAAAATGTCCGATCTCCACAGATGCGATGTTTCGATGCTCAACTTTGATCTCTCTTGGTCTTTGCATAAAAATGTCATCCCTTACGATTAATTATGTGGAGGCAAACATAATTCGATTAGGAATTTAAATTCTATAATGGGAAAGATGCCGATGGGAAAAGTTATGTATGTATATCCTTCCAAAGTTCATGCTCCCAGGCACTGGAGTTTGGTGACTGAACGGTCAGGTTGCAACAATTAGCCGACTGATTTATCTATCTGGAGCAACTGGCAAACTGACAACGAATGCCGGGCACCAGCGCTTACATTTGATTTGATTTGATGTGATGTGAGCGCCTACGAGCGAATGTGTGTTGCTGCGGTCCAAGCCAACAGCCATGGCAATAGCCACCAGCAACACTAGCAACTAGGAACCAGCAAACTAGCAACCAGCAGCAGCAGCTACAGTTTTCTGATGTGGTGCAAACGCATAATCGTAAAATTTGCTGTGGAATGTTGCAATATTTTTCGCGAGTCGCCAAGCAATTTGCGCGTGAATTATTCCAAACGTTGCATTACAAATGATTTCAGCAGCGACCACAACGACCAGCGTCTTTAATTGGCTCACAACGAGGAAGTCATTGGCCCAGCAGCCAAGCCTCCTTCGTGTCCCCTTTCTGATGCTCTTCTAGGCCCACTCCTTGCTTATTTTTTTTTTTTCCTTCTAGCCCGGGGAACGTGATGTAGACAAAAGTTTCAGTTTTGGCCATAAAATCATATTCAACTTGGCGTTTTCCATGAATGTCACACTTGAGCAGCAACTGAAGATGGGAAGCTGTTGGTCGCGGGTGTTGTTGCTCATGGGCTTGGTTGGTGTTGCAGCGGGGTGTGTGTTGGGGTTGCGGTGTTGCAGCTGGACTGGGTGTTGGTCTGGGTGCTACGACTCTATTAACGCGTCGAGTGCGTGAAACTTTTTGCAGGCTTCCATTTAATTTCCATGGCCGATGGCTTGTTGCATTTGCCTAAGCAGCAGCAGCCTTTTGTTGCCTTTGGCTTGGTGGTGGTATTGCTGGTGGTACTGATGTTTCTGTTGCATTGTTGCACTCCCGTAGTCGTTGTTGTCGTCTGCATCGTTGCTGCCATGTAGGTAATTCCTGGAAGTTAATTTCATTAAGAGCAACTAGCAATGCGCGGCGTATTTATTAGCCACACGATATATTGTATGGGCCATGGCTTTGTTTTTCAAGGAATCTGCCGACTGGCTGTTCCATGCATTTGTGGAATTCATCATCGGCGGCGACAGGCGGCCGTGGCAGCAACATCCCAACATCACAACTGGCATTTCCCCTGAGCAAATGTTGCCACTGCTATTGCTATTGCTGTTGCTGTTGCAATTTTCATAACTTATTGCAGGCATGCAAGGCAGACCCGGATTCGGTCGCGCTTGTTGCCGCTAAATATGGCGCGAAATTTCCTTAAGCAAAATGAAGAAATACGCGTAAGTGCGATTTCCAGTTAATAAAATTAAACAGCCCAACTCGGGGTAAGGATTTAAAAATAACGCACATTCACCGACGAGTTGTAAAATTCTTATTAATTCTGATTGCAAACCAAGGATTTTAGTCGCTTGCAACAGGAATAGTCTAGTTAAGAATCTAGGAATAGGAATGGGGATGGGGGTACCTTGTTGTCATTGCGCCTCCATTTGGTCACAGTCATGCCGACAAGTGTTGTACACGCATTCCAGATACTTTTCCATCATTAGCCGATCGTCGTTGCTGTTGTTTCTTGATCCGATCTGGGCAAACACCTGCCGCATGTGGAGTGGATCGAATGCCGTTTGGAGAAAGACATCTGAACAAATGGTCATATTGGTCTGGTGATTCCCTGCAAGTGGGCTTTTTTTATTGGAACACGGATAACACGCAGCTTAAATGCTAGTCAATCTCAAGCTCAAATTACATAGAAACGAGATTTATACAAAGACCGCAGTGGCGGGCCCGTTTACAAAACAAATCCAACGTGAAATACAAACTAGATTACAGATTCGAAATAAGAACATTCAAATAGTAGTTAGAAGAAAACGGAATAGACTCCGATTAGCAACAAGATGACGAACAGGATGAACAGCTTTGATTTGATGTGGTACTTCTGCTCCAGGCTATTCCACCAGCGAGCGAAGGCCACCGATACGCTGTTCTCATCCGGTCGAAGGGAGCGTCTGGCACGTGGCTCATAGCCCAGAGATCCACTGGCCACATTGCCACTAGCCAAAGTGCGCCTATACGGACTGCAGCGATCGCCAATCTTTTCTGCACGCAAGCGTGCCAAATTCTGGGCAAAGGTGCTCTCGTATTGAGCATCATCGGCATCGTTGTCGTCGCTTAGTTCGTTTGCATAGGTACGCTGATAGCTAGATGAAGAGTAGGCGGATATCGGCGGAGCCTCTGCAGTTACATAACCCTGAGCAGCAGTACGGACAAAGCTGCTATAGCGTCCGGGTGCTGCTGCCTGGTTGCTCCCGTATTCGTAGGACCTGGTCGAACTAGTGGTCTGTGTTCTGGCAGATGGCACATATGACGGCAGCACAGGAGCTGCTGTGGCTTCATAGACCTGGCGACGAGGTGGTTCCACCACCTTGCTTTTGTACTCATAAGAAGTGGTTCCGCTGGTTGTAAACTTGGACGTCCTGGCCGCTTGTTGCTGCTCCACTAGATTTGCAGCCTCAGCCAATTGTTCGTCCTCCTCATCGTCGGACTCTAGGACAATTAGTGAGTTAACCTTAAGATATTTTTCTTCGGGATCGGCACGCTTGGAAGCTGCCGGTTCTTCGGCAATGATTTGTGGCTTCCTAATGGGCTCCAACACTTTTCTTTCGGGCCCTGTGGATGTGGTGGAGGTGCGACGAGTCTGTATGGGTGGCGCAGCAGCAGCAGTTGTAGGCTTCCTGGCGACAACCGGCTCTTCTGGTCGACGACGCTCGGCTTCCTTGGCCTCCGTGGCGGTAATAGTGCGACGAGCCTTGGTTGCGGGTGCAATCTTATTTCCATCCAGTTTGTCCACCGGCGTGGAGGCAGCTGCCGGAGCAGATGGAACTGGAGCTGCGGCAGCCAGGGTATCCCGCTTGTTACTCTTTTTGGGACTGGCTGTCGGAGCTGGTGAGCCCTGGCCGCCAATGGAGGCTCGCAAACGCTTGACCAGAACCTTACGACTGCTGTCCGTCACCGGGATGTTCGGAAGGCCCTGGGCCAGCATCTTAGCACGGAGCTCTGCATTGGACAGCGAATCAAAATCGTCCACGTCGGCCATTGTTTCTAGTTTTTTTATCACACTTTTCGAAATTCGTTGAAATTGAAATCGGCGTCACTTTTACGCGGTGTGTGCTAAGATAGTGATGAGCGCTGTTTCAGTTATCGATATCACGGGTTTGCGGGTCTTGCAACACTGAACTAGTCGCGGGAATACGGTTTATTGTCTAGAAGCAAATAAAGTTATACAATTTCAAAATTTATTGTTAAAATGGTACTACAAGTTGCTTTTTTTTCTCCTTCACCACTCCTGGAATACTTTGATTGATATATCTACATAACAAGTTTCATTATTACGTAGTTGTAGCTTCTTACAACTAATATTGTGTTGTTGTTCTTACTTTTTTTTTTAATTAATTTATTATTTATATATTTAAAATTTAAATACAAATATTTTAAATAATAATCAAAAAATAAAACAGTGATCTTAAGTCACAGTTTATCTCTTCCCTATTTCGATAACTGACGAAAGCGAGTTAATCGATTTCTGCAGTTAGCTAAAACCTACAACAAAAGTCAACAAAACAGAAAGTTGAGCATTAATCATAAACTATCAACTCGAAACACTATTATTTATATACAAATAAAGCTTTGTTAGCAACTAAGGTATAATTGTAACAAACATTCCATGAATTAGAAACATATTAGACAACAAAGAAACACCCACACACCGTAGAAAAGATTCATCATGGACATTTCAAAGGCACCAAATCCCAGAAAACTGGAGCTTTGTCGCAAATATTTCTTTGGTAAGAGTAATAACTGAATTCTAATTAGTAAGCTTACTAATTCTTTTAATATTTAGCTGGTTTTGCCTTCCTGCCTTTCGTGTGGGCCATCAACGTTTTTTGGTTCTTTCAGGAGGCTTTCCATAAGCCGCCTTACCCAGAACAAAGCCAGATCAAAAGATGTAAGATAAGCCTTATTTAAGTCCTTATAAACCAATCTAATATTATATTATTTACAACCCCACTTAGTTGTCATATTCTCTGCAGTGGGAACCTTATTTTGGCTAATAGTACTGACTGCTTGGATAGTGATATTCCAGACAAATCGAACGGCTTGGGGCGCCACAGCCGACTATATGAGCTTTATCATTCCCCTAGGAAGTGCATAACAAAGAAAACTAGAAATAACTAACTTATGATATTAAAAAAGACTTATAACCAATCATAAAAAAAAGATTCTTATTAATCCCCTTAATTATAAATGCATATAAGGCATGATCAATTAAAAACAACTATTTGATTTAATTACATATTTTTTATTCACATCTAAAGCTGTTTTTGTTTTTTATAATTTTCTGTATACTTTAAATATGTGTACTATATTTTGTTGAAATTTCTTAGCCGCTAGTTATGTGTTTTGTTTTTTGTTCATATTCTTCCATATTTGTATGCTTGATTTAGCCATTTTAGCTTTAGTTAGCCATTTTGTGGATTACATTCTTTGCTTAGATACAATTTCATTGTTTCGAATTCAATTCAATGCGCTTTTATCCTTCTCTAAAATACATATTTTTGTTTGTATAAAACTCTGCTTGTACCATTACATAAGCCATTATGGTAATTTGTTAAATCCCATTTTAATTGTTATGTTTTGTGTATGTGTGTCTTTGTTTGTATCCGTGAATCCAAATGCTTTTCTATGATTTGATTACAAATTGCATTGAGAATGTCAAAAAACCTAGCGACTCTAAAATGGGCATAAGGAAAACACTCGCTGATCTACACATGAAGACATAATTCAAATTGTTATTATTTCTTTTTGCTTATGAGCCTGCAGCAAATGCTGCAAGCACATAAAATAGTTACATTACAATATGATGCATTAATGTTTATAACACGAACTTGGTGGCACGATGCAGTTTGGTGCAAGGCCACCAAATCAATCAGTGGAACTAATTTACAATACAAAAGACTCGCTTTAAGGTATATTTACAATCAATACTTGTTTTTATTTATAAATTCTAAAGAAGAATTAATGTGTGTTTAGGGTTTTGGGTTGTGGGAGTTTTTTGTTTCTGGGGAGGTCTAGGCTAAAGAACATTAAGTGCCATAAATCACGCGTGTAGAGTCTATGAAGCGGCTAGTGAACTACTACACACCCACATTCACATAGATAATCGTTTAATTACACATATATATATATATATATATATATATATATCTCGCCATCGTTATCATATCATATATGCATATGCGTATAAATATTTAAAGTACAAATGGATACTTAGAAACAATTTAAATTAGTGTGCGGCTGCTGGCCGAAAAATTCATCGTAGTCATTTTCACGGAGAACTTATAACATAGAAACTACGGATACGAGTAGTACACACATAGATATAGATTTAGATACACATAATATATAATTCTATATATATATATATATATTATTTATAAGAATTGAATGGGCAGCGCGCCCAATTTGTCTTTTAGATGCAAATCCCGCGCAGCTCCATCCGCAACACAGATAAGGGTAATTAATACACACTCGCTAAATGCTAAACTTGTACGGTCCTACTTGCATAATTTAATCATTAAGAATCAATTTTAGTTAAACAATATCCATACATTTGTATTTCTTAATTTCGTTTCTTTTTCGTTTAATGTTTATTTTTTACAAAGAAATCAACACACTACAGTATCGGGTTTGTTTCGTTTTTCGTTTTTCATTTTGTATGTTTGTTTCATGTTATCTTTTTGTTTGTTTTCTTGTTTTTGTTTTTGTTCATGTTCGGTTTACGCCTCTCTCGTATGATATAAATATAAATATAGATATCTATATGCAGATGCAAATACACTTAGGAAAAAGTCGCTATACGTAGTTATGCTATATATATTTATATATGTATAGGTTGTATGTGGTAATAGTAGTGATACCTTAGGCTAGTTATAGTTAACCACGTTTAACGAAACATCAAAAAATACTTATTCAATATAAATAGTCGATTCTGGATTCTGTATTCCTCTCGGTTCCTCCACCGCCGATGCATTCAGCATCGTAGGGACACTCTAAGAGGCAGCCAAGATAGCGACGATAGGTTTAGACGGGAAGTGGTTGGAATCCATTGGGGGAACAAAGCCTTTATCCATCACCCACTGCTGCCCGTGGGGGATATCTCGGAAATTAAGCAAATGCACTCTGGGCACGGACCATCTCGTTCCGCTCAACACTAGTTGTTCTTCACGTTATACCCCTTCTTCTCGTTGCTGCCGTTCAGTGGATCTCATTTCGACGGACCCGGCGGAAACGGGTTTATCACAGCTACAGCAGCCGCTATTGGGAAAGAGATAGTGTAGCGGTTAGTATATAATTCATTGACTTAGTTCCTTTATCTACTCACCTCCATAGGGCGCCGGGTACATGGGATAGCCGAGGCCTACGTGCGTATGGTGGTGGGTGTGCACATGACGCTGTGGCGGTGGACTACGCGAGTCAGCGGCACCTGCACCGCCTCCTCCCGCTGCGCCATTGCCCGCAGCGCCTCCCACTCCGCCAACGGCTCCATTTCCTGGTGGCCCATTTGGTGGCGGACCTCCGGGCATCGACTGCTTGTGGCCGTCCAAAGACGAACCGGGCGGAACACCGCCATGTCCTTTCGGGCCGGAGAGATCCGGCTTGCTGCCGGGCGCCGGGCCCATTCCTCCGGGTGGTGGCTGTAGGTTCAGCGGCACACCGCCCGCAGACCCAGGTGCCGAGCCGGGCTGCTGGTTGGGACCGCTGCCTGGGCCGAGGACACCGGAAACAGGTCCGGATCCGGGGCCACTGCTCGTGGGTCCGCCCTGTTGGGGCGGCCCAATGCTGGGACTGCTGACGCTCACCTTGACGGGGCCGCTGCCGCTGGTGGGCGACTTGAGGGCCCGTTCGCTGAGCTCATGGATCTTGTGGGTGGTATAGTACTGGCTAGCCGCGTGGTGCAAAGCATCAAGGGCTTTGGTACCAGTGTTGCGCGAGAGATCTTCGGGGGCATGGTAGCGCGGGATCGGCAGGTGATACGGAGCCGTATTGTACGGTCCCGCAGCTGACATCAACACGTTGCGGTACATGGGATGATTGGGATCAAAACCGAAGGGCGTTGGGGAAATGTACGAAGGGTGAAGGAAGTACTGAGACGTGGGTGGTGGTGGGGGACCCTGCGTTTCCATGGTCGGCTTCTGACCCTCCTGCTTCACCTTCAGTGGCTGATCGTCATCGCCACCCTTTTGTTTGGGCGAGTCCTTCGTCAGGTTGGTGGCCTTGTTATTGGCCGCCGCACTTGCCGCCTGCGACTGTTTCAGTTTTTGCTGTTGCTGTTGTTGCTGCTGCTGTTGTTGTTGCTGCTGCTGTTGATGTTGTTGCTGCTGCTGTTGCTGCTGTTGGTGTTGCTGTTGAAGGTGCTGATGATGTTGTTGAATCGCCTGCTGTTGCTGCTGGGCAATTTGCATTTGCTGTTGCTGCTGCTGTTGCTGTTGTTGCGCCGATCCCATGCCGGGTTCATCCTTGTGCATCATACCAGGATGTGGTGGGAGGCCACCACTAGCAGCGCTCTGGGCTGCCGCGGCAGCAGCGGCGGCTGCTTGATTTTGACGCCCCGTGAACATGTAGTACCTGATACGAAAATGTTCAAGATGTTCATATTTTTATATCAATTAACCTTCTATAACTACTTACCGTCTCAGCTCCTCGTCGCGCGCCTGCTGCACTGCCAGGCTCATTGAGTGGCGCTGGTAGATGGCGGGGTAGGCACCCAGTGCCTGCAGATCCTTGGGATGCAGGGCATGCGGTTGTTGTGGCTGTGGAGGTGGCGGCTGTTGTTGGGGTTGAGGAGCCGGCTGTTGCTGCGGTGGCGGATGTTGCTGACCAGGATTTGAGTTGGGTTCCTGTTTGATCTCCTGCTTGGTCATTGGCTCCTGCTTAATCAGCTTGTTGGCAATCATCTTAATGGAAATTTTGGCATTAGTGTCAAAAAATAAAGGAAGTAGCTTAAAGAAAGACTCACCTGCTGTTGTGGTGGCAAATGCTTGGGCTGGTCGTGCGGACTAGGGCTCTCCTTAAGGCGCTCCTCTTTGATACTGATACCCGACAGCTGTTGGGCTTGCGAACTAGGAGGCACACCTGGATGTCCGCCCAGTTTAGCGGCCTCCTCTGAAGCCACAATAGAAACAGACCCAAAGTTGGGATCCACGTTATATGGATACGCAGGTGGAATAAAACTGCAAGGAAGGTATAAGATTTATTAGTAACAATAGCATTAGATCATTATCAATTAACTTACTTGAACGGATAGAAATGGGGCATGCCCTTGCCCGGTCCGGGGCCACCTAGACCGGCTGCTCCCAACGCCGAGAGTCCACCTAGACCAGGTGGCAAGGTACCTGGCGGCGGTCCAGCCACTGCACTGAGGTTCACCGGCGGCGGCTGAGATCCCGGCTGCGAGGTAGGCGGTCCCACGACCTCCTTGCCATTGTTTTCGGGTCCTGACTGTTGACCCTGTTGCGAAGGCTGCTGACCTGGCTGCGGCTGTGGTTTGGTCATCAGATCCAACGGCGGATCTTTGTTCTTGCCACTGTAGTCCGCCAGGTGAGCGGCGACCGACTGTTGCCCAGGTGGACCCAGCAAATGACTCGGAGGCTGTGAGGTAGGCGGAGGAGCACCCGGTTGCATCTGCTGCTGTTGAGATTGTGTCAGAGCAGGTGGCAGCCCTGGTGGTTTTCCTGGCTCCGTCTGCACCATATATTGAGGCTGTTGTTGCTGCTGTTGCGGTGGAGGTGGTGCCTGCTGCTGAGCCGGATAGAATTGATACATTCCCGGCACATACATGTTGGGAGCCGGGGCTGGTGGAACACCAACGCCAACATCCGATGGCTTTTTGCCCATCAACTCTATGTGCTTTGCCGCCACTGCCTGTCCGACTGACTTGTCTAGCAGCTCCTGCTCGGCCACTGGCGTCGAGTCATCGGAGATATCACTGTAGGCCGGACTTTGTACATCCTCGCGTGAAACACGACCCTCAAAGTCACTGGGTCCGGGTGACTTGCGGTTCTTCTTTTGTTTGCTGCCAGCGGCACCCACGCCAAATCCAGGCGAGGTCTTTAGTCCTGCCTGTTGGGCATAGGCCGATGGTGTCTGTTGATCTTGGACATGACTCGGCGGCCTTGGAGGCGATTGTTGCGTCTGTGGATTGATTGGTGGTTGACCTGGCTGCTGCTGCAGGGGATTGCCGTCCGGAGGTCCAAAGCGTAGTACCCCCGCTTTCACTACAAAGAAAATAAAATAAAAGTTGGTTAAAATAAAGCCTTCTTCGAAATCGTGGCATATACTTACGTGCTCCTTGCTGCAACAAGGCCTGCTGCTGTTGATCTGACAACATGGCCGGCAGTCCACCCATTAGCTGTTGCTGGTGCTGTGACAAAGCTTGACCAGAGATTCCTGCAGTGATGCTGCCTCCGGCTACCGGTTGCTGCTGCTGCTGGTTGCTTGCCGCATTACCACCTGGGGCGAGCAACTGTTGCTGTTGCTGCTGCTGTGTGGGAGGCTGTTGCTGCTGTGTTGCGGCATTTGGACCTGCTGTCAATGGAAGAGTGCCCAACGGCATTACTGATGATGCAGATTGCTCGGCTCCAGGTGCTACCACAGCACAGATGGGAGTTTGAGCTGGCGGCGTGGCTGGTGGAGGTGCAGAAATCGGCGCTGGAGATGGCGCCTCTACCACAGAGGGGGTAATGATGGGGGCGGCAATAGATACCGATCCAGTAGCTAGTGTCGTGGGTGCAGCGCTGCCATTGGTTACGGTATTGTTGGAATTGGCGATGGGTGTGTTCGAGGGCACTGCCACAGTTCCTTGACCGGCTGATGGCGCTGTCGCTGTTGCTGCTGTTGATGTCTGAGATACCCCTTGTCCTGCTCCACTGGCAACTCCTGGCGAGGGTGGCGTGGCCGGTTCCTCGGGTGCTTGCATCGAGTCCTCATCCATAGAGCTTACACCACCGCCCGCTCCGTGAGCGTGAGACTGATGATAGCGCAGTCCATTGGCATGCTTGTACTTCTTGCTGCAGTCCTGCTCGGGACACTCGAGCAGCACCGGGGAGATCGCGCAGGGCGAAGCAGTCTTACATTTCTTGGTGCTGATCTGCACATTGAGGCCGGTGACCGGATTGAGCAGGCTTTGCGGCTGCGTGGCCAGGCCACCGCCGCTGGCCGAGATGGGTATGCCGCTGGCATTTACCATGTTAACTCCACCGATACCGCCGCCAGACGCTCCGTCTGCCGAATCGCCATTGAGCGGTGAAGGCGCTTCGTCCTTGGACTTGCGTTTCTCCGGACGCGGCGGCAAAAACGCTGTCGGGGAAGTACTGGGCGTAGCGCCGCCTCCATTACCCGACGAGCCACTGTTGCTGTTCGCCGCTGCATTACCGGATGCACTGCGCGTCGCACCGCGTCCCTTGGTGGCACCATTGCGAAGTTTTGAATGCACCTGGGCGTGTGAGAAGTAAATCTGCAAGTACGAGAAGGAAAATATGAATTAATTAATCATAATTAAACCCCAAAATTGAATAACTGTACTTAAGGTAATCGAATTTATTATGACTTACCGAACTTCTGGTCTCCGTGAAGTTGCTCAGGTCGGGCGTGAGACCTGCACTACGTCCGCGCTTGCCGCGTCCCTTTGGAGTTCGAGAATCTAATTCTTCAGTTGGTGAATCACAGAATCTGAAAAATACACAGAAAAATAAGTAAGCAATCAGCATTTTCAAAACTTGCACTTTTTGCAGTTCCCAAAGATATCAAATTTCTTTAAAGAAATCACTTAAGTGGGAATTTTGATAAATAATCCTTTCAATAAACAAATAAAATAATACAATATTGTTTACTTTAATAGTCGCAAATTCTTTAAGAGCTTTTTCTGTGAGTAATAACCACTAAGGTTCTGTATTTATCTGAGAATACTTTCCAAATTATATAAGTTTTAAATTGATCCACAAAAAATGGATAGAACAGATAATTGAAAATAAAAAAAATCAACTTGCAACATAATATTGAAAGGCATCTTTATTCATTTAACTAATCTAGTCTCTACAATAATTTTGGAAACCGTTTGAAAAGCATATCACTCAATACACAGCCACACCACACCAACTCACCTTGGAGGAGCCCAATCGTGTCGGGTACAGTCGAGCAGGGTGCCGACGTAAGTCTTGCCCCGCCACGTGACGTTTACCACAAGAACGCCGCCCTCGGTCTCGTGCCAAACGATACCCTCGAGGGTTACGGAGGTACCTGGTTCGCAAGGTCCCAGGCAATCCGGCTCGGTGATAGTGCCCACCGAAGTGCCAATGCAAATGTCCACCATCTCCTTGCCAGTGCCTGCTCCGCTAGCGCCAGCCTCATGCTTGGCTCTCTTGGCGGGTGGCGATTTGGTGTCGTCGTCGCCTGTTCCTGTGCTGCCCGCTGGTACCGAGATCGTGTGGTGCATGGTGGCTGAGATCATGCCGGGTGCCATTAGCTTGGCCTGGGCCGCCGCTGTTGTTTTGCTCTCCGCTCCGCCGTTGCCACCAGAAGTGTTATTCTGGCCCTGATTCGAGTTAGTGCCACTCCCGCTGTAACTGTTTGAAGCGGCAGCCGCTGCCAGTTGGGCGGCAATGTGCGAGGAGATTTTAATGCTGCCGGCTGAGTCCTTACCCGGCGGTCCCGGTGCATTGGCACCTCCACCCGATCCCCCAACACCGCCTGCATTACTGCTGGCGAGTTGGGAGGCGGAGGAGGAGGCTACTCCGGTCGCCGCGAGAAGTGAAGCAGCCGCAGGCACCACTGTCGATGGTGATCCAGCAGAAGGTGAGCCTGCTGATGGTGTGAACACCCCCGGTGGCACTGCCGACATGGAAGATGAACCACCAGTTTGGCCATTGCCACCACTCGAATTTGAGTTTCCGCCAGAGTTGGACATGTGTGCAGCACGACGAATGCAGGCATGGTGAGTGCATGGAGCTCCAACATCTCCGTTGCATGAACAAGGTGATCCGCCTGCTCCCGATCCGGAACCTTTCTCTGGGGTATCCTTTTCTCCAGCCGCAGATGCAGCTGCCGCTGACTTGTCCACGGACATGCGATTGGAATGTGCGTTCTTGTCCTTGGTCTTCTCTCGCCGATGACCAGAACTGCCGCGTTTAGTTCCCTGCGGCGTGGATTGACTGCTGCCGGAGGATCCCCCTCCGCTGGCATGACCGGCATTGTTCTGACTTCCTCCTCCAGATGAGGAGGAGCCACTTCCGGCATTGGCATTATTTAGGTGTTTCTTGCTGCTGCCTGATGAACTGCCGCTGCTGGAGGAGCTGCCGCTGCTTGCGCTGCTCGACGAATTGTTGCCTCCCAGGGAAGACGCGTTGGTGGAACTGGAACCGGAGCCGGAACTCCCATCCTCGTTGACCGAGTTATTAGATCCGGCGCCCAGGGCGCCGTTCTGCTGTTGATCGGTGGCCTTCACAATCTCGTGTTTGGCCTCCGAGCTTTTGGTGCCCGGCTTGGTGCGCTTGATCTTCATTTTGAGTCCTTTGTCGAGCGTCGCCTGGTGATCTATGGACATCTTTGCACTCGATTTACCACTTGAGGAGCTTGAGCTGCTACCGTTTCCGCTGTTGCCGCCTTGCGAACTCGGCGGCCCACCGGCACTTGTGTTGTTGTTGCTCCCGCTACCGCTTCCGCTGTTCCCTGTGCTGCTGCCTGAGCCGCTGCCTCCGCTTCCGCTGCTACTGTTGTTACTGTTGCTAGAGTTGTTGCCGCCGCTGCCGCTGCCCGTTTGCGAGGACATGCCGCCAGCGGAAAATTTGGAGCCTTGTTGTCCACTGCCCGCCGTTGAAGCTGCTGATGCTGCTCCAGCCGACGAGGACACTAAACTGCCACCTTTGGAGAACCCAGCAAATGTCGACGATGACAATGTACTGCCGGCTCCAGCTCCCGCTGTTCCGTTTGTGTTCCCGTTTCCACTCCCCGATCCACTCAGGGACTTGGAGCTATTGTTCAGTGGACTCGGACTGTTCAGTTGAGCCACCAAAGCGGACTTGTAGCCCTTGGAACTGCTGCCGCTTGAGTTAGAGTGATGGTGGTGATGGTGATGATGCTTCCCCGATGAAGAGGAGGATGTGGAGGACGAGGAAGAGGATGATCCCTTGGCCACCACGTTTGTACTGCCACCACTGGGCGTCGCTGATGATGATGAGGAGGAGGAATTAGCTCCGCCACTGGCCACCGGCTGACGTGTGAACTTAATTGTGGTTGGCGAGGTGGCCGACAAATTGCTGTGCAATGTAGTCTTGTGCGATTTATGCGACGATGATGATCCCGCCGATGCTGCTGCTGAGGATGAAGCGACGCTTTTGGAGGATGATGAAGAGGATGTGGAGGAGCTGTTTGCCTGCTTGGCATTTAGCGCGGTAGCTTGGTTGCCACCACCCGAAGAATGCGCCGACTTCTCGATATCCGCGTCCAAGTCGTCCAGCAGCTCTGGTATGCCGCCAATGTTCCACTCGTCCTCGTACTCAAAATTCGTGTCCTTAGACTCGCTCGAGTTGGAGCTGCTCGACGAGGATAGTGACGAAGACGAGTTGTTGCAAGCAGCGCCCTTGCCAGCTAGTTCTGCAAAGGGAACAAAAAGAAAGAGGAATTAGGTGAGAAATGCCGCGTCATTGCTTAGGGGTCAGTGGTGTATGTATGAAGGGGGCTTTAGTAGTAGTAAGAGTTGGGGTATTAGTAAGGTTCGTTTTAAACAATTATTGTGCTCAACTTTATAATTGTTTTTAGATTATTATTTTACTATTAGGTGTAGGTGTAAAAGAAACGAATCTTGATTTACTGGCCATCCCCCTTAAAATAATCCCAACTAAGCCACTGTTTATTACAAAGAAAAAGACAGCGAGAGATTTGCAGTTACTTACTTGTGTTTGTATGCTTCTTGATCGCACTGGAGTTGTTGTTGTTATTGTGGTTGCTCCTCTGATTATTCGCCGCAGTTGTTGTTGATGTTGTTGCCTTCGTTTTGTTATTGAAATTCAGCGCTTGGTTCGCCGTCGTTGTTGTTGCTGCTGCTGATGTTCCTGTTGTTGCCGTTGTAGCTGTAGCTGCTCCTGCCGCACTTAAATTAGCTAACAATTTATTATTCTTAATATTGCTTTCCGTTGCTACGTTGCTGCTATTCAGGGCCACCTGCAAATGTAGAAAAAACGAAAAAATTACAAATAAAATAAGATTGCCGCTGTATGCGTGTAAGTGCGTATGCGCTCGGGTGTGTGTGTGAGGGGTAGGGCAAGAAGAAAACTCAAAAAAAAAATTGTAGTTTCCTTTTAGCCGCTTTCGCTTCTTACCTTTGCCAACTTTTTTTCCATTCCATAACCATAATTAGCTTAAATGTGGATTAATGTTTTAATTTACAGAAAAAAACAAAAAAATAAAACGAAAACAATAAATAAATAAGCAACTTCGTTATTCCTCTCGATTATTTTGCGCGAGCCTTCTCCGCGGCGTCCTTTTTCGTTTGGCAGATGAGACTCAACGGAAAACCAACAAAAAAAAAAGAAGAGGAAGAAGAACACAAGCCGGAGAGCAACCACCGAAAACGGGAGAAGAGAGGGAGAGTGAGAGTGTGGCAGAGAGCGGAGAAGAGACGAAGGCAAACGAAAACAAAACACTTTCAGTGTTGGAAAACGTATGTCAATAACTAATAACTTTAATTGCCAGATCGTGTTCTTTCGATAATTTGTCTTAACTAATAAATCAGTATGCTACTGTCCCAATAAACAATTTACAAAAAACGATTCAAGAGTGTAGTTCGCTGGTCAGTTTACTATCGCACCTTTCGCTTATCGCACACTGCAAAAGTCTAGTAGGCACTTGAGAAAGCAGGCCAAAAAAAAAAACGCCACTCAAGTGGGCCAAAATGATGACAATAAAATAATTACGCTCTTATCGCCCACTAAATATGAAGAATGGAAATGAGGAGGGGGAGGGGGGAAAGGCGGATAAACAGTGTTGTCAACTATTAAACATCCTATATAAATTGTAAGCACTACCGACTGAAAAACTCTTTTATTACTGTCATTAAAACTTTAATCCCGTATGTTATTGTCTAGTCTAAAATATTGTATCTTTAATTTTTGAATGACGTCTTTGTATTTATTTTTATAAGTGTTTATATAGAATTAAAATTTATGGCATGAATTAGAACTTAGTACAAAAATTGTTGTTGGTGTTGTTGTTAGTAAAGTGAAGGAACAGTTGGCAACTCTTAACCGAATGTAGTGTAAATAGTTTTTAGAAACAGTATTTGATTTCATTTTCCCGAAAATGTACTCACCTTATTCGGGTGGTGGCTAGTGTTCGCCTCGTTACGTCTCATTGACTCCATGCAGACGCAAACGATCGGGCGGCCGCACTGCGCGGGCGGCCCAAAGTACTACCAGTAGTGCCTAGGAACGTGCAGCCGGCGAAGGAGTTGTTAAGAAGGCTTGGACAGATGCTGGCGCTGATGCGGATGATGACACTGGTGCTGCTACTGGTGGGTGGCAATGAACTGATGTAACGCTGCCTCTTATTCTGACCAATTGTCGACTTGTTAACCAGGCAACAACGCAGGGAGACACAGGGCCTCGGCCCTCGGGCCAAATGGTTCATTTTCAAAACTGCAAAATAAGAAAGAGAATAGAAAATGAATATTATTACCACGATTAGTATAGAATGCAATCTGGCAGATATACGGTTAAAGCTTTAATGAAAAGTAGTGGCCCCACTCGATCGAGTGCTTGGCGAGATTAGAGCCTTGTCGCTCTTTCAAGTGCTCAATTCAATTGCCATCTTATCAACGCCGATCGCCAATCAACGTGTTTGAGGTTAACTATAAAGGCATGGGTGACTGTGATTTACATGCATTGGACTGGAACTGGGATCATAATATATATACGTATATGTACATATATACCCCTTAACGACCTGGTAATTAAAGCACTTTTGCACAATTTACTGATACTGATAACGAATCTGTCGGCCTTTCTGGTATACGAGTAACACTTCTACTACTCTTACCTATCTCAAGTGCCACCGAATATGAAGTACATTTATATACATATATATATACTACTTACTATATGATTTAAACATGTGCGCTGGCACAGTAGCTGCTGTTACCTTTCTGATTTTTTGATTAGATAACGTCAGCGGCGTAGTCTCTGAGAATTCTACGAGAGTTCCTACACGTCTTTGCCACTCCAAAAACGTTGACGTCATCATTGTCAACTAACTACTTAGCACTGTGTGTGGTTTTTTCTATCTTTTTTTTATAACTTCAATGCAAATGAACATTAATACCAGAACAAATGTCAAGCACAGTTGTGGTTTATTAGGCTTAGCTTTATGTTTTTGTGAGCCAAATAAACTAATGGTGGCTATAACAGAAAAAAGTATACAATGCAGAGTATATAATTTTCTAGAAATTTAGATTAGGGCTCTAACTTGTGTCTATATTCCCATAAACCTCGTATTACTAATGGCCTATAAAGGGAAAATCATGTATTTTATGATACGATTTTTCCACTTTAGTCGACAGATAATATGCCCTGCTTTGTCAATTAATGTGATTGATTGGTTTGCATGAATCTCTGTTGGATTCATTCATTTATTTTTTTATATTCCGCTTGGTACGACTTTAAAGCAGCAACAACAATTAAATTTGCATGTGCTTAACATTTTATGATAATTAAGTGGCACAGACAGCAAAACACGCTTTTTGTGTGTGGGCCGACGTTGGTTTTTGCCAACTTGTGATTGTTCGTTCGTTTGTTTGTCTGTTTGTTTGTTTGTTTGTGTCACCCGAGTTATGTTCGCATTTTCATACTGAATACAGAAACTTAATTAATTGAGTTGTTGACTGTGCTCGGTTCGACAATAAAATGCTGCCCACACACACAATTCACAACACATTGCGTATTTTTTCGTTTTACTGGCCCGCATTTAATCTCATCTAAATGCGAGCTTTTAAGCCCAGACAAGAGCGCATTTCCCAGTTCCCATGGCAATCATCTTTTATTCGCCGCCACTGAGCCCCTTCACTTGGACACCATTTAATCCGCTATTACGCACTCCACACACACACACACACAGACTCTTTCGGCCATGTGGGTGGCAATGGAAGTGTTTGTGTGTGGCATGTGGCATTAACGTGCCAACAAGGGGTTAAACCTCGAAAAAAAAAAATAAAAGAGAAAAAAGGAAGGAAACTAAAAACACCCATCCATTGCGATGCTTTTCACAGACGCCGCCAACAAACACGAAGATTGAAACACACCATAATTTAGACAAATCAATAAATTACTAATAGCCCCTTGCTACTTCGCTCCTTTATGCGATCTCAACGATCGACATTCCACCGAATTCGACCGAGGTCCCACAACTTTTGCAAAAGGCACACGGCGGGGCAGGGCACAAGGAAATGGGTAAAAAAAAATGTATAAAAGGTAAGCAGCAGCAGTTTGGCCAGGTAGAAGAAACTGGCAGGCACAAAGACAGCGCCGGTCATCGTTCAAGTCGTGTTTTAAATTGGGTTTGTGGCCAAGCTCCGATACCATAATATGTCCCTCCCTCTTCCCTACCTCTTTTACGATGCACAGGAATGAACAAGTTGGTGGAATGGCACAGGGAGAGAGAGAGGGGAACTGACAGTGTCTTCTTGTTATGGCCAAAGTCCCTGTCCGCACGTACTAAACATCAGGCAGTACCCAAAGCCCAACCCAAGCCAAAAAAAGCAACCAGAAAATAGCAGACAGTGGTGATTCTATAACTTGACTATGAGTAAAAGCTAGATTAATATGGAAAGTTATAAAAGGGGAAATTGAAATAGTTTAAATGTTTAAAAGAAAACAAAATGATATAGAAAGCTTTGCCTATCATCCTACTTGCAGAATAGTAAAGTTTGAATAACTTAGTTACTAGCTAACAGGTAGTTAAAAATCAAAACTAGCTAAAGCACAGCTTGTCAACGCTGGCAGACTGAAAATCAGCGGGAGAACATGAAATCGCCAAGATGATGAAGAAGCCGAGGAAACCAACGAAGAACAAGGGGCTGTAGAGCTCAAGATTTACGGCAACATCATCGGAAACATCGGCCGCCGTTCAGAGATCGTTCGAAATCGCTTGGCCGTCGTCGTCGTCATCATCTTGGGTTTTTTTTTCCATCATTTTTTTTTTTGTATTTTTTTTTTTTTTTTGTTTCACAAGATGGTTGTTGTACAAGATTGATCCTCTGCGGTTGCTAAATGAACGCCTTCGGGGAGTTGCCAGTGCGCTTTTATTAGCGTTTTTGATCCAGAATGGATCGTAACCACAGCAGCCAAACAAGCAGAGAATCGAAAAGAGAACGAACGAACGGGCGGGCATCAGACACACACGCAGATACAGTTGTGGTCAAGACAATAGTGCCTTTAAGTTTAAATTATATTTTAATTCACTAATTGTTTTTAAAAATATATATACACAGCAATATGAGAATAAAAGCAGAAGAGTAAGTAAAAATTAAAACTTTTATACGATCAAAAAAGTTTATATAAAAGTCTTGAAATTAATCCCTTGACACTTTTGGCCTTTCAAATTTCCTCATTAGTTTATGATCCTAAAATGATGACCTCCATTGTCCAAGCAAAATATACAAAAAGTAAAACACAGACAGAAATTGCGTTTCGCTAATAATTCTTGGGTCTTGTTTCTTTTTTGATTCGGCTCGAATCGCGATAATTTGATTTTCCCCAAGCGCAGAGCAACTCATGCGATTGCGTTGGCGGCGGCTGTTTAGGCTCAACGCGCTCGCGGCGGCGGCTCGGCGTTCAATTAAATTAAGTGCAGCGGGTTCCCTTTTCGTTTCGTTGTTTTTTTTTTTTTTTTTTATTATTTTTCTCTTGTGGCATGCCACACCACCGCAGAACGAGATATATATTCTCAAGTGCTGGCCAACTCAAGTGGCGAACATGCCACTTAGGCAACGTTCTGAAAACGAGCCACGGCTGGGATGGGAAATACTCGAAAGGGGCAAGAGGAAAGTAAGGGAAGAAGATCTCGATCCCAGGGTAGTGTAGTAGACACATTCAATTGTTTTTTCAATTTATATGTATGTATATATTGATCACTCGAGAGAAAGAAATGTGTATGTGTCAGTGTGTTTGTTTGCGCCCCTTTTCCGTTCATTGATAGGCCATTGGAATTTATGACTTCATTCCCCTCCTCAGAAGATCTTTTGTTCGTGTCACCAGCAAATTGCTGTCCTCAATTACGAGGGTTTCTCCTTTGTGGATCTGGGATCTAATGAGTTTAACACTGGAAGATGTAGGGAGTCTCCGATTCGGGTTGCTTAATACTTTATCAATTGTTGTCGAGGGATCCGGGCGATATAGCTGATTTGATGGGTTATGATATTTCGCAAGGGAGAATGTTTTTGTCTTGCTTTTTTATGTTAACTTTACTTAAAAATCTAATAAAAACATGGCTTTAGGTTTAGTTGCCAACTTAAAATTCTAAAAATATTTAAAACTAGCAAGGACATTAGGTCATTGATCAGATGTAATGAAATCAAAATTCCACGTTGTATTTAACAGAAATAACAAACTATATATAACTATGACAAAAATGTGGCGTGTTGATTGCTTTCCCTAACTAGCTGTTTTATAATCTGATAAATAAAGAACAAGCCGAAAACATTTAACGACTTTTATGGCCTGAAACTATAACTATATAAGCCACAAAAGGCTTCTCCAAACTAGTTACATTTTGGCCAAGATGCTACCACGTTCTCTGCTGCCACTTGTTGGAGGACTATGGCTAATAGTTTTGACAGTAGATCAATGTAGTGGCAAGGTATTATAATTATCTTCTAACTAGAAGAATTGGCTTAACAGAATTGCTTGCAATTATAGCGAAAATGGGAATACGAGCCGCTGTCTATTGAGACCTACACTACGGATGAAAGCAAGCTGAAAATTGAGGCTAAAATTGATAGAATTGGTCGTGGGGAATATGGCATTTCGGCCAATATTGAATTTAAGTACGAAGCCGATGATAATACCATGGTGAGTATGGGTTTACTTTTTTAGTTCATTTTTATAAACAAATTTAATAACTGTAACTTATACAAAACTAATCCTAAGAAAACTTCAAAAATTGCGCACAAAAACAGATAGGTTGGGAGAAATCCTGGCTAACATCCTTACAGATTATTGATTATGATTATTAAAAAAATCATTAAAATTCGTATTTAATCTGAATAATTTTCAGGTTGAAGCTTCCGCCTATCGAAGCAGTTCTGGTGAGGAGAACGATTACAAGGTTATTCCTTTGAGCATCCCAAAACAACACTATATCGACTTCATGAACAGTCACTACAAGGATGTGGTAATACCCAACCTGGGCGGTTGCTCCAATCTCGTGACGTTTGATGATAAATTTGAGCCACCATGGCCACAGAAGACATACGTATTGGACAAGTGTGTGGCCGATAGTGACGGCTTTCCGGACATAGTTCCCGAGGGCTACTACAAGGTCAACTTTACCATGATGGGTCCCGTGGATTGGGGATTCATTCTTATCGTCAAGATCTCTACCAAACTTATGTGAACTTCCTACTATATATTTTTCTATTATCAAATGTAATATCAGTATGTAGCATATGTAGGAAGTTTAAAAAAAAAAAAAGGTTTAATTCCAATAAAATCAGCTTCAAAGACATTATAAATCTACATTATTTATCAATTATCAACAAGGGCTTGTTGGTTTTACAGAAACGAATGTTTAACATCGTTTCAAATTGCTGATTGATTTGAAAATATTTTAATTACTTAGTGAATAACTTTCAAACATGATAAATCCGTGAGATAAAGCTATTCAGATTATATGATTTGACTATATAAAACAACTTGTAATTCATAAAATGTATCAATTGCAATTGCAAGCGACATGGCAAGCTCAGGTCTTCTTTTAACCTCAACTAAAATCGGGATTTTAATGCTATATATCCATTTGGCAAAGGCAGCAGTAAGATTGGTCATATATATATAATAATATACTATATAATATTATATTCTCCTTTAGCGAAAATGGGACTATGAACCTATATCCTTTGTGGGCTTTTCTTCTGATGAGAGCCAGCTAAAGTTTGAAACGAAAGTCGATCGAATGGGGCGATCTGAATGGGGAATATCGGGAAACTTGGAATGGAAATATGATGCCAGCGAAGAAACCATGGTAGATCATCTATTAAAGATTTTATATACCCCATATTCTATATCTTTCCCAGGTAGAAGCCGTTGCCTATCGCAGTACAAACGGTGAGGAGAGTGACTACAAACTGTTACCCTGGACCATCCCTAAACAGCCCTTCTATGATTACCTTAATACCTATTACAAAGATGTGATTGTTAAAAACCTCGGCGGCTGCTCAAATCTGCCACAATTTGAGGGAAAATTTCAGCCTCCTTGGCCAAAGGACACCTACAAGCTTGACAAGTGTCAGATTGATGGTGATGGATTACCGGAATACGCTCCTCCAGGATTCTACAAGATTGTATTCACCACTTTTGGCAAGGGACAGCCATCGTGGGGTGTCACGGCCATCTTTAAGCTGACAAATAAAATGTTCTAGGCATTGCAATATTTTTATATATTTAATAACATTTTTGAAATGGTATTAGTAAAAAGCTTAAATAAAATATTTAAAGTCAGAATTTTAACAAGAAATTATTCGTAGTTCCTTAAGCTATTACTGGAAATAAATTATATATTATATAATATATATTGATCACTCGTTACAAGACTTTTCTCTTTGTGGATCTCGGATCTAATGAGTTTGACAGTGGAAAAAATGCAGATGTTGCAGCTTCTGATTCGGGAATGAATGGGCAATCGTTTAAATTTGTTGAGTTTTTTGGTTGGATTTGGTTCATATCTATTAATCTATTAATTACTTAATGAATAGCATACAGACATGTCATATACGTCAGATACGGTTACTCTGATGATGTAATAAAGGGTATATAAAAGACTGGAATTTAATAAAATGTATCAGTTACATATTAAAAGACATGGGAACCTCTGGTCTCCTCTTTTTCCCAATTAATATCGGGATTCTGCTTTTATTTATACATTTGGCCAAGGCAGCAGTAAGATTGATATATATACATATTATATATAGTAATATTTATAAACCCTTCAGCGAACATGGGACTACGAACCTATATCCTTTGTGGGATATTCTTCTGATGAGAGCAGGATGACGTTTGATGCGAAAATCGATCGAGCGGGTCGATCCAATTATGGATTCTCTGCTATTTTGGAGTGGAAATATGAAGTGAATGAGGAAACGACGGTAGATCATCATTTTAATATATAAAATACTCTTTCTATATATATATATATATATATACATTTTCCAGGTGGAAGCCCTTGGCTATCGCAGTCCTAACGGCGATGAGAGTGACTACAAACTGCTACCCTGGGCCATCCCTAAGCAGTCCTTCTCTGATTACGCCAGTACTTCCTACAAGGAAGTGATTCTTAAAACCCTGGGCGATTGTACCAATTTTCCGCGTTTTAAGGGAAAATTTCAATTTCCCTGGCCACAGAACACATATAAGCTTGACAAATGTAAACTCGAAGCCGATGGACTACCGGAATTCGCTCCTTCAGGATTCTACAAGATGGTATTAACTGTTACTGGAAAGGATCAACCAACGTGGGGTTGCACGTTCATCGCTAGGATTACAAGTAAAACGTTATTCTAGGTTTTATTCTAATCCAATAACTTTTCTAAAAATTCTAAATAATATATTAAAAGTCATGATTTTAATAAGAAATTACTCGTATTTCTCTAAGCTGTTACTTGGGTAAATCAAGAAGTTTCATTATTTTATAGATCGATAAATAAAATATTACAAATTTAAAGTTACGGGCATTATTTTTACGCAATATTCTCATGACCTTCAGATAATGGTCACATTATTATGAAACAATGTAAATGTAAATCATCAAAATTATATAACTTGATTACAATGTCGTGCTGCTTTGCACTTTATCTATCAGTTTTTGTTAGCTATATAAGCCAAATGCGATTCTTTTTACAATATCCAGTTTAATTTTGGCCACATGATTTCCCGGTGCTCAACCCTTTCGGTTTTGTTGGGTGTTCTAATGATCTATGACTGTGGAGCAGGAGTGAGTATCTCTACTTATATTCCTAAACTACTTTAATAAAAATATCTTTTAGCTTTTCAAACGCAAATGGGATTATGAACCCATTTCGATCAAAACATATACTTCCGATGCAAGCCGTTTCTACAGTGACCTCAGAATCGATCGAGTGGGACGCGGAGAGTTCGAATGGTCAGGCGATACCCTGTGGAACTACGATACGAGTGAGGAAACCATGGTGCGCCTTTATGATAGTTTAAAGTTCTATGTAAAAAACCAATATATTCAGGTAGAGGCCGCTTCCTATCGAAGTTCTACCGGGGAAGAAAGCAACTATAAGCTTCTCCCTTTATCAATTCCCAGGCAAACCCTTTATGACTATATTAATACATACTACAAGTATGCGATTGTAAAGAACTTCGGATCTTGCTCTAATATTCCGCAATTCAAGGGTAAATTTGAGTCACCAGTTCCAAGGAATACCTATAGCGGTCGCAATTGCGCTATCGATGGCGAAGGATTGCCGGAAGTATTGCCTTCGGGATTCTACAAAATTATATTCAATTGCTCTGGACCGAATCAGCCCATTTGGAGCTTTGTTGCTGTTATTAAAGTAACACCAAAAATGTTTTAATTGATTGAAATAAAAATGCAAATCAGGAAAATATATTTGGTTTATACTTGATTAAAACTCGCATTATAGGGAAGGATAAGGAAGGATACAACATTTTCTATAAATTAAAGACATTTTCCTGGCTTATACGCAACCACTTCTTTCCCTATATTCCGATGACCTTCAAATGACCATTACTTTGACATGTTTTAAATGTAAATCAAAATTATACAACCTGATAGCTGCACGACATAGCTTTGCACTTAATCTATCAATTTCTGGTAGCTATATAAACCAAATGCGACTCATTCTAAATCTACAGTTTAATTTTGGACAAATGATTTCCCAGTGCTCAACCCTTTCGGTTTTGTTGGGTGTTATTTTGATCTATGGCTGTGGAGCAGGAGTAAGTTCCTCTACTTATATCCCTTCACTACTTTAATAAAAATATTATTTAGCTTTTTAAACGCAAATGGGATTATGAACCTATTTCTATAAAGATATATACTTCCGATCAAAGTCGTTTCAACTGTGACAGCAGAATCGTTCGAGTGGGACGCGGAGTATTCGAATGGTCAGGCGAGGCCCTGTGGAATTACGATACGAGTGAGGAAACCATGGTGAGTCTATATAATAACCTAAATTTCTTTATGAAAATATTTAATCTTCAGGTTGAGGCCTCTGCCTATCGAAGCCCTACCGGGGAAGAGAGCGGCTACAAGCTTCTCCCTTTCTCAATTCCAAGGCAAACCCTATACGATTATCTTAATACATACTACAAGTATGCGATTGTAAAAAACTTCGGATCTTGCTCCAATATTCCGCAATTCAAGGGTAAATTTGAGCCACCAATCCCAAGAAAAACTTATATCGGTCGCAATTGCGCTATCGATGGCGAAGGATTGCCGGAAGTATTGCCTTCGGGATTCTACAAAGTTATATTCAATTGCTCTGGACCGGATCAGCCCACTTGGAGCTTTGTGGCAATTCTTAAAATTACACCAAACATGTTTTGAATGTTTTAAATGTATAAAATGTAACTCAATGTTGTGGTCAAAACCGTAATATGTATGTATGTATGTTAAATATGTTCTAAATACCTAATAATATGCCTTACAACAGTGGTGCTCAAAATCGTCTTCCGGCATAGCATTTACTAACACAAACACAAGAAAATGTGCACATATTTAGTGACGTTTTTGTGTTGGTTTTCAACTGTGCACTGAGAGAAAGTAAAACACTTTTTTTCGCTAACCAATTCCTCACTCATTCTATTGACGCACCAAAGGGGCCACTGCGAAATAAACTCCAAAATGTAAACAGAAGTTATAAGAAAGAAATTACAGTGCAAGTGTTCGGGGATGATCGAAGAGGAAACAAGAACAAATTGTATTGAAGTTGGCGACGGAATGAGGCGGAAAGAGGAAAACGAAAAATTGTTGATGGAATAGCAAGGAGTTCGAGGACGATCCAGGGAGAAAACAAAAACAAATTAAATTGCAGTTGGCGACGGTATGAGGTGGAAAAGAAAAAGTCAAAAAATTGTTAGTGTAATATTGCCGCGATCTCTTAAAGATTTTGGACTAGCATGCCCATATGCAGCGAGCATTTAAAAAAAACAAATGAGCGGAGCGCTCAGAGCATAGGTTTGCTACATTACAAGATCATAATCAAGACTTTTTTACCCAATAATCCAATGACTTTCAGATGTAAAATGTAAATGTATATCAAAGTTATATAACATCATAACAATATCGTGCAGCTTTGTATAATAGTTTCTGATGGCTATATAAGCCAAATGTGAAGCGACCTAGCACTTCAGTTCAATTTTTGTCAAATGATTACTCGACTCTTAACCATTTCTTTACTAGTGGGTGTTCTACTGATCTATGGCTGTGGAGCAGGAGTAAGACTAAAATTTATGTATGTTTAATTAATAATTAATAATTAATAGTTTTTCAAGCGCCAATGGGAATACGAACCAGTGTCAATCCAAACATATACTACGGATGAAAGCCTTTGGAAATTTGACAGCAGAATCGTTCGAGTGGGTCGTGGAGTGTTTGATTGGTCAGGGGAGATGGTTTGGAATTACGATACGAGCGAGGAAACCATGGTGAATCTGTATAATAACCATATAAAATCTCTATATAATCAAAAATAAAATCCAATATTTTCAGGTAGAGGCCGCTACCTATCGAAGCTTTAACGGGGATGAGAGCGAATACAAGCTTCTGCCTTTCTCAATTCCCAGACAAACCCTCTACGAATATCTAAATACCTACTACAAGCAAGCCGTTGTAAAAAACTTTGGCTCTTGCTCCAATATTCCACAGTTCGAGGGGAAGTTTAAACCTCCACTTCCAAAGGATACATATATCGGTCGCAATTGCATTATTGATGGAGAAGGACTGCCGGAAGTGATGCCTTCGGGTTTCTACAAATTTATATTCAATTGCTCTGGACCAGATCAGCCCACTTGGAGTTTCGTTGGAGTTATTAAAGTAACACCAAAAATGTTTTAAATGATTGAAATAAAAATGCAAGTCGGTCACTAAGTTGTCACTTGGATTAATTCCTATAATCTTAACCAAAGAATATCGATTTCACTTCAAATATCACACATCTGTTTTGATTTAAGTTTTTTTAATAACGTGATTAATTTAAACGCTTCAGAGATTTATTTAATTACAATGTAAAAAATCAGGCTTCCCTAGTCTGACAACAATGTCGTGCCAAAATTTGGATTATTAAATCATTAAATTATCTATAAAGCCGCAAAGCGAGCCATATAAATAGACAATTTAATATGTTTTTCCGAAGCTCACTTGCTGGAATCTGGTTAGCAGTCCTTCTTAGCTATATAGCAGCAGTAAGACCAGAGTTTAATAGCCAAAATAAGTCTATTATAATTTAATAAATTATTCAGCGGACTTGGGACTACGAACTCCTATTATCACCACCTACTCTTCCGATGAGAAGCTTATAAAACTCGAAGTTAAAATTGAACGAATTAAACGCATAGTTTATGCAGTAAGTGGCACGTCCGAGTGGAATCATTGTCCTCTTCCGGTGAGGAGAGCGATTACAAACTCCTCCCTTGGGCCATTCCCAGACAAACCCTTAACGACTACATGAATACCTATTACAAGGATGTTGTTATGAAGACCTTCAAGATCTGCTCGAATATTCCACAATTTAAGGGCCAATAAATGTATGATCGATGGCGATGGTTTACCTGTTCTGATTCCACAGGGATACTACAAGGTCTTTATAAAATGCTCTGGACCAGAGCAGCCCACATAGAATGCTACGGAATGTTTTACAGGTCATCTCTATATTTCTTTTTTTCTTGCTTAAAACTCGCATTATAGGGTTTTTGGGGGTTTTAAGATTATTCCTTTTACATCTGATGCCATATCAGCCAATATTCTTGGCATTCTTTCCAAAGACGCAGGAAATATGGGTTTTCCATGACACTGGGCTGTCAGGGCTGGGCTGTCTACGGAAGGATACAAATTTGAATCCAAAGTTTACGCAATATGTCAAAAGTGTACGAAATACCTAATTGCATTAAGAGATCATGCATTCGGATGACACTGATCATGAGATGATATAAATGTAAACCTAAATTTACATAGCTTGATTATAATATCGTGCAGGTTTGCACTCTATCCATTAGTTTCTGGTGGCTATATAAGCCAAAGTCAAATCGGGCTAGATCAACCAGTTTAACATTAACCAAATGTCTTTCCACTACTCAGTTTTGTCGGGTGTCCTGCTGATCTATGGCTGTGGAGCAGCGGTAAGCGTTGAATTTATAATCCCAAATTGGTTTTTTAATGAAAAGTTTTTCTCAGCGAAAATGGGACTATGAACCTATTTCGATCACCTCAACCACTTCGGATGCCAGCCTCATGAATTTTGCCACAAATGTCGCTCGAGTCGGTCGCGGAGAGTTTAAAATGTCATGCGAGGTCCTGTTTAATTACGATACCACTGATGAAACCACGGTGAGTTTATATATTTTAGATAACTATAAAGGTTCAATATAATAACCAAAAATCTCGTTTAGATGGAGGCCTCTGTCTTTCGAAGCCCTACCGGTGATGAGGGCGACTATAAGCTCCTTCCTTGGTCAGTTCCTAAGCAGCCTTTCAACGATTATATGAACACCCACTACAAGGAGCTGATTATGAAGAACTTTGCCTCTTGTTCCAATATACCGCAGTTCGAGGGTGACTTTGAGCCACCCTTTCCAAAAAATACGTATATCGGTGAAGATTGCGTAATCAAAGGCGAAGGATTCCCGGACATGGTACCTTCGGGTTTCTATAAGGTTATATTCAACTGCACTGGACCAGATCAGCCCTCATGGAGCTTCGTTGCAATTTTTAAAATAACAGCACAAATGTTATGAATGTATAACAAGAAATGAAATCTTAAATATCATATAGTATAGACTCTTGTTTTATATTTTACTGATTTTTAGGGAAAATTTCTATTAAGTTTCCTCTTAAAATAGTGGGTTAAAAACTAATCTCATGCATCCATGACCTTCAAATATCCATGTCATGTCGTGAGATGATATATTTTACATAGACCGATTATAATGTCGTGCAAGAATGCACTTTATCTATCAGTTTCTGTTGGCTATATGAGGGAAATACCCAATAAATTGGATTAAAAGATCATAAACCAAACAAATTCTCTGATTTTTAGACCATAATCATGAGATAATATAAATGTAAATCCAAATTTACACAGCCCGATTATAATGTCGTGCAATAATGCACTTTATCTATCCGTTTCTGTTGGCTATATAAGCCAAAGGAGCAGCATTCAAGTATCCAGTTTAATATTAACCCAAATGATTTTCCGCTTTAATATATTCTTCTCAGTTCTGTTGGCTGTGCTGCTGTTTCATGGCTGTGGAGGAGCATTTGTAAGTCTTGTATTTATATCTAATATTTTTATCAACAGAAATAGTTTTCTAAGCGAAAATGGGACTATGAGCCCATTTCTATCACCTCAACTACGTCGGATCCCAGCCTATTGCATTTTGAGCCCAAACTCCATCGAATCGGTCGCGGAGTGTTTAATATATCAGGCGTGCTCTTTTGGAACTACGATACTACTGAGGAAACTATGGTGAGTTAATACATATGTTAGTAAATAGTTTGATATGTATATATAAAAAAGCAAAATCTACTTTAGATAGAGGCTATTGTCTACCGAAGTACTTTTGGGGAAGAGAGCGATTATAAGCTCCTCCCTTGGGCAGCTCCCAAGCAAACCTTCTACGATTATATGAATACTTTCTACAAGGATGTGATCATCAAGAGTATTGGCAAATGTTCTGATGCTCCTCAGTTCGAGGGTAAATTTGAACCACCATTCCCAAAGAAAACGTATACTGCTCAAAATTGCGAAATCGAAGGCGAAGGATTACCGGACATGGCACCTCCCGGTTTCTACAAGGTCATATTCAATTGTTTTGGACCAGATCAGCCATCATGGAGCATAATTATTGTAGTTAAAATAACAACAAAAATGTTTTAAATATACATACATGACATATAAATGCAAGCCTAAAAACACAAATCTATATTTTACTTTATAAATATCTTAAAATTGTTATTTTTTTTTAAGGCAGAAGGAACAGGTCTCCACGAAACTTTTAATATTTCTAAAAGAAACTTCATATTAAAGCTGTGAAAAGGAGATTCTCAACATTGCTTTGAGTCCCCATGCTCGCAGCATATGAACTTGCTTGCCTATAAGCTATGCGCGCTTGCGGCGGTATTACACTAACAATTTTTTGTTTTCCTCTTTCCGCCTCACTTCGTCGCCAACTGCAATATAATTTGTTCTTGTTTTTCTCCTGCATCATCCTCGAACTCTTTGCTATTCCACCAACAATTTTTCGTCTTCCTCTTTCGCCCTCATTCCGACGCCAACTTCAATACAATTTTTTCTCGTTTCCTCTTCGATCATCCTCAGACACTTGCACTGGAAATCAATCCTTATAACTTCTGTTTCCCCTTTGGAGTTTCTTTCGCAATTGACGAGTCATTAAAATAAGTGATGATTTTTTTCTCTCAGTGCTCACAGCTGGAAGCCAACACAAAAACATCACTAAATATGTGCACCCTTTCTTGTATTTGTGTGAGTAAGAAGAATTTGAGTAACCCTGCTGTAGATTATTCCATAGTTAACTAATTAAAATGTATAAATGTACAAATATAGCAACAATGTCGTGTCATATGCTGATTGTTACATCATTATACTGGCTATATAAACATAAAGCAAGGCATGACCGTACACAGTTTAATATGTTTTCCTGGAGCTTACTAGCTGGAATCTGGTTGGGAGTCCTACTGAGCTATGGAACAGCTGTAAGTCTAGAGTTTTAGTCTGAATAATTATATTTTAATTTTAAATAATAAAAACAGCGCAAATGGGACTACGAACCGTTATCGATCACCACCTACTCTTCGGATGACGAGCTAATGAAAATTGATGTCAAAATTGAGCGGGTTTCACGTGGAGTCTATGGAGTAACTGGCAGGATCGAATGGAACTATGATACGACAGATAAAACTATGGTAGGTCTATACCAACATCCTGTTTAAATATCAATAAAGATTATGTTTAACTATATCCAGGTGGAAGGCATAGTACTTCGAAGTTCTTCTGGTGAGGAGAGCGATTACAAACTCCTTCCTTGGGCCATTCCCAGTCAATCTCTTTATGACCACATGAATACCTATTATAAGGAGGTTTCCATGAAGAACTTCAAGCACTGTTCTAATGTACCACAATTTGAGGGTCAATTCCAGCCTCCAATGCCAAAAATGACTTATATTGGCAATAAATGTGTGATCGATGGCGATGGTTTGCCGGATATGATACCACAGGGATACTATAAGATCATATTGAAATGCTATGGACCAGAACAGCCCACATGGAATGCTACGGTAATTGCTAAAGTAACTACGAGAATGTTTTAGTAATAATATTGTTAAGTTAAAAATATATATATCTTTTTTTTTTCTTGCTTAAAACTCTGTGTTTGAAAGGAGGTTTTGGGGTCTTTATTAGTAATGTTTTTTATATCTTGTTAAGGGAAGTTTAAAATGAAGTTCCTCTGATCTATCATAATCTGTCATTTTACTTTGTTTTAAATATTTTTCTGCTACTTTTTTTTAAATCTCTTTATTCTTATCTTTAGACCTTCTAATCTTCTAATCACAAACCACAATCTATCAAACTGAACATGATTTTGGCATGTTAGTCCTGACGTTTAACATGTTAACCAAAAAATTTAACAAGTGGGTTATGTAACTTAAACAAGTTGCAGACGTAACCATGCCATGCAACCATATAGTTTGCTATATAAACACCAACCGATCTCTCACTCGATTCAAGTTCATTTTTTGGCTAAATGATTTCGCGTTGCGCTTTTTTAATCTTTCTCGGTGCGATTCTGATCCAAGGTTGCTTCGGTGGAGTATGTCAGGATTATCTACAAAAATTACAAGGATTTTCTAATTTTGTAATTTTGTACATTTGCCAGCGCAACTGGGAGTATGAGCCTGTATCCTTGACATCCTATACCTCAGATGAAAGTCTTTTAAAGATTTCCACAAAAGTCGATCGCCTGGGTCGCAGCGAGTATGCATTTTCCATGACCTTAGACTGGAACTACGATGTGGATAAGGATACTATGGTATATATTTATAATAAATATCTAATCATTTTCCTTGAACTAAAATCTAATATCAATCAGGTTGAAGCCGATGTCTATCATTGCTCATCTGGCGATGAGGAGGACTACAAAATGATGCCCTGGTCTATACCCAAACAGCCCTTCTTCGAATATCTAAATGGCTTCTACAAGGATGCCTTCATCAAGAATGTGGGCCATTGTTCTAATATGATCCAATTCGAGGGCGAATTTGAACCTCCATGGCCAAGGAATGTCTATAAACTGGACAAATGTGTGGCCAATGGCGAAGGATTACCGGAAATCGCACCGGAGGGATTTTTCAAATTAATTTATAAAATGTCCGGACAGGTCGAATGGGGCTTCACCCTGATTGTCAAGGTCACACACAAGGTTATTTAGATCCTGTTAATCTTCTTTTTAATTGATTTATTATAATGTTAAATAAACGTAAACTAAATAATGATAAAATTCGAAATAAATTGGTTTTTCAAAATTAGGATTTTATGTTTTATTTTTGAATTTTACTTTTAACTTAGTTTTTTTGCCTTCTGTAAATGGTTAATATTAAATATTTAATTAATTTATTATTTCATATACTTAATTTATATCTTTACTTTGTAATTCAAACAAGCAAAAAAACATCAATTAAAATAGTTTAACAAACATGAAAAACCACATTCTGGCTTTCTTTCGTGTCGATTAGAAATTTCCGATAACTTTGACATGATTTACCTTAATTTAAATCACGTTACTGTTAACAATAATGTTAAAATGTAAACGACTAAAACACAAAGTTTTCGTGCAAATATTTTTTAACAAAAATTAATCCAGGTCTGCCGACTATATAAACAAGAAGTTGGTTAGGGGCCAATATTCAATTTATTTGGAAATGTTTTCATTTTGCGTTTCATTGCTTTTATTTTTAAGTATTCTTGTGTACCTTTACGATGGCTGTTCAGCAAAAGTAAGTTGGAAAAATATATGTTACACATTTAAATATATATTTTTTTAGCCCAATTGGGAAGCCACGCCCCTGTCAATAGGCGGTACAACCACAAACCCTAGTGCCATGGACATGGATCTGCGAATTGAGCGCATTTCCAGATCCGAATTTGGCTTTTCTGGGACATTTTTCTGGAACATTGATATGGAGGATAGTGTGATGGTAAAATATAATAAAAAAAAATGTATTAAAAATCTCTATTAAATATTTAACTAATGCCAGGTGGAAATGCGAATTTTGAGTAGCCATTCCGGTGACGAGGCTGACTACAAAATGACTCCTTGGTCCATTCCCCAGCAGAAGTTTACGGACTACATCGACACCTTCTACAAGGACATGCTGAGACCAAATCTGGGAAATTGCACCGATATGCCAGTTTATGATTCTGGCTATGTACCGCCCTGGCCAAAAATGACCTTCACTTTCAATCGCTGCACTCTGAATGGTCAGGGATTACCGGATATTGTGGCCGAGGGCTTCTATAGAGGTGAAGCCATCATCAACGCCCAACCAACTGTGGAGGTCAATGTTTCGGCCACTCTTCGTATCAAAACAAAATTTTTCTAAATTTTTTGATCTATTAAAAATTCTAGCAATTTCCTTTTTCTATTTTCTGTACTCTTTTAGCCAACTGTTTTTGCTTTTTCGGCATTCCCAAGGTGTGTTTGTGAGCCAAATTCTGGCTGCAAAGAAACGAACGTCATAAAAATTCGCCGGACTCAGCGGGGAGGGACAAAATGAACCTGGCCAGGTAGAAATCGCTTAAAGCCAGCTGACGTCGACCAGGCAGGCAGTTGGAGTGTGAAATTGGCAAGACATGTTTGGAAACTGTTGTGGCAAGAGTGAAAAAAAAAAACACAGAGTTTGTGGTAGGATAGTCAGAGGGTGAAGGAAAGGCGAGGGAAAAATTGCACAAAGTGTAGCTGGCACTGAGAGAAATTAGGGCTTAAAATAAGTCACAAAGTTGAGGGAAAAAAATATCTTTCTATTAAATATCTTTCTTAAATTGTATCTATAAAGTTTAAGTATCTCAAAGTGAGATCTCCTAACTTTTTCCTGTGTACTTTCCCCTCGTTTTCTCCCCCCCTTTGGAAAATGCAATTCGAGTTGCATTTCAAGTGAAAACTCTGCCACAGTTGCCTCGGCTAATTTATTGCAAATTGTTAAAAGCTACAACGACGAAGGCGACGCTGCTGCCGGCTGTCAACTGATGACAGCAGCAAACTCTGCTCCTCCCCTCTTACCCCCCTTCTTCACTATAAACTCTTTTGGCCGCTGCTGCTGTTAGCTGTGTTTTCCCCATTTTCAGGCTGCTCCCCTTGTTGGCTGGTTTAGCTTTTTATTTAGAGTGAACCACAGTTGCATGGAAATCGCTGTGATAAAATCACAGATCTTTATTAATCAAAGATTTAAAAAAAAATATACTTTATGAATTAATTAAGATTCAGAATATGTAATTTCTCCATATTATTGAAAACTATTTGAAATGATTTTAGTACTTAAACCTTCAAGTTAGTTTATTTTCTTTATAAAAAATATTCAGTCAAGTCTTTAATCTCCAAAAACTTGTCCAAAGTACATCCTAAAAATTCTCTAAAATAACATTTAACCAAATTAATTACATTAAATAATAAAAATATATAAAATCAAGCACCTATCACATTTAATATGCTTTTCAAAAGCTTAATCTTGTGTAAAATTGTAAATTTTCCCTCACAAACGAGACGATTCGGATCAAAACAGCGTTTAAAAAGCCAATTAATTTTGTTGCAACGAAAAGCGGTGGTGGCTCACCCTGATTAGCATACAGAGGCAATACTAAAACAAGCAACAACCAATTTGCATTTAGCCACCATCCATCTAACTCACACAAACATACTTATACATACGAAACCCGCGATTGTCCCATCTGTTGGCGGTTTGAACATTTTGCGGCATTGACAATATCAAATTGTTATCTGGCATAAAATAATTACAACGTTTTAATGCAGACAAAATAGTTGTCGTTGTCGTTGTTGTTGGCAGTTCGACGGTTGCAAGTTGCTTTTGTGGTTGTTGCCTGTTGATATTATCTTTGTTGTTGTTATTGTTGCTTTTTGCTGCCAAAGTTTAGCTGCCAATTTGAGTGGCAATAAAAGCGCGTGTGCGACAGCAAAGAGATTTCATTTTCAACGTTGCCATGGTTAGTTTTAGCTGCTAGTGCCGCTAATTAACCAAAAACGCAGCCAATTAGTTGGACTAACACGGAAAAACGTTGCACTTGCCATGGAAACTGCAGGGAGTGGTGCACTGAGAGAAAACTATTATTATTTTTATTTGATTTATTCAGTTAAGTTAGTTAGTATCAAAGATAAAGCTATCTTAGTGTTTGGCTATCTTTAAAAAGGTTAATAACTTGGTGATGGGGCTTGGAAAATGGCTACTTTTTCAGAGAATATTATAAAGTAATATAAAAATATCAAAGTTTTTCATCTGACGGTTTCTTATCTTAATATATTTCTTAATATTTTATAAATCTAAAAAGGTTATACTAATAAAACCCTTAAAAAATTCATCATAAGGTCAGATTGGAAAAGGAAACTTTTCACAATTTTCTTGAAATATTTAATATATCCTTCCCAGATTTTCTTTAAGTGTCTTAAGCTCTAATTTCTGACTTGTTTTCATTTGTGTTTTTGGAATTTGATTGCGCGATTTACCCAGATAATGCCTAGGGACACCGGTAGAGTGAATCAAACAAGGCCAGCTAATTATTTCGATTGCCGGGCAAAGATTGTTAATTATTTTAATCCCTCTTATTGATTATTTGTAAAGTTTTAAACAAGCTTCATGACTATATATATACTTTATATACATAACAAATATTCCCCAAATAACCGGAATAATCATTTTAAGCGTTATTTTTAATCGCCATTTGGTGTTTATTATTATAGCCTTTCAACGACATCACTTAACTTATTTAAAAACCAAATGGAACTTGTTTAAAAAAAAGAAACAACCTTCTGATTAAGTGATATATGCTCTAATTCAACTAGTTAATTATGCTAACTAGCTTAGTTTATGGCTAACATTTCCGTATTTGCAACTAATTAAAAAGCTAAGATCTATGGAAAACTCTCCAGCAATTTGCAATGCTCATTGATAGAAAATTTGCGAAATGAAATGCATTAGACTGTGGGCAGGCAAAGGTTAAATTATGTCTGCATTCACAGAGAGAGATGCGGCGGCAGCAATAAACAAACACAAAAGGGGGAGGTGACAGGAGGGGGATAGTCAGTCAGAATGCAAAGCTTGTTAAAATTCATGTAATGCATTAACAGAGAACAACAACCACAAATTACACACACACACACAGAGAGAGAGAGATAGGGGCCAGAAGAGGGGCCAAACGAGGGGCTGCTGGATCTACTGAGTCAAAAGGCCGACGGGCTGCAATGAAAAGGCAATTAAAGCGCAGTGGATGAGGAGGGAAGGCAGGCAAAGAGAGAGAGAGAGGGACAGATAGGTTCCAAAGGGGGGGCAGCTAAAACAGTGGAAGGGGATAATGCTGCTGCTGCTGCTGCCACTGCTGTTGCCGTTGCCGTTGCAGCAATCAATTGCATGCTTCAATGGACAAATATACGAGCATAGACAAGTGGAGAGCCGGCTCAGATAGACATGGCCGATACGGACGCCAAAGCAAATGCGTTCGCTCAACTACAGTGGAGATTGGCTAAAGTAAACTAATAATAGTTTACAAAAAAAGTTACAAATTTGTTAATTTTTGGTTATTTTGTTAGAAAATCCGTTCAATTTCCCCAACTTAGTTTAACCCATAAACCCAAGTAGTCCTCTTTATCGACAGCCCACTGTAACTGCGTTTGTTCATCTGTATGTTTGCCAGCCCCAACTGTAAGCCTGTATGTATCTGTGAGTTGTCCACGGCAGACACCCGTGGGACGGACGGAAAAGCGACTAGATGGACTCAACTAGATAAAAAACCTTAGTTGGCTTGGTGCCCGGCCAAAATGAGGAATACAAGTGAAGAGCTGGAGAGGCTTTGAGTTGCTCTAGACTGGGACTGGGGTTGGGGCTGGGGCTGGGTCTGGGGTGTTCAGTGTTCGAAGCTTAGAGCTTGTAACTCCAACTCCAAGTCTGCATCTTCATTCGCCTCCTTCGACGGCAGTCAAGTGGAACGGCACAAAAACTTGTTAACTTTTTTTTTCGCTACAAAAGGTTCGAAGAGTGCCAAGTTGAGTCAATCAACTGGCAACCTGCTTCTACTTCTGCGCCAGATCTCCCCCTCCTTCTACTCCTCCCATCTGTACTCACTTGGCAGCAATTAATCAAATAGCCAGACCCCGAATCCAGCTCACCAGCCTGCCTTTGGCTTTATTATTGCAATCAAGTCATTTACCTGCAAAACGCTTAATTATCACTTTTTGGGGCGGCAATTAGCAATTAGCAGAAAAATTCTTCACATGCCACGCCCCTACTCCTTGCTGGTCTTTAAAGGCTCTCGTCCAAAGCCATATTTCTCACCATACAATGGACTAATCCCGGCCAGCAATTGATGAGCAGTCTCATAGATGGTGTCACAATTGGCCACATCATCGGCCACCATATCAAAGTCATAGGCCACGATGCGATAGCCAACGCAACTTAGTTCCACGCACCAGGCGACCTGCTCCAAGGTGCGTATATTGATGTAGGCCACCGAACAGCAATGGGGCAGGTATTCGGCCAATATCAAGTGGTCAGCAAAATCCTGACATGTGTCCACCATCATCTGAGCCTCGCGAAGGGCATGAAAGTCGTTTTCGTCCCTCTGGACGAGAGCCATTTCGGTAGGCTTCTTCTATATGGGAAATTTTGACTTAACAAGCTAAGGTTTACGATTTCTTAACTTCAAACTAACCCAAAACGAAATCAGTTTGTATATTTTGTACAACCTATTAAGCTGAGGAGCATTAAGAATATCGAATCCCCGATGCACCCTTCTCATTTTCAAGAAATTTTTTCAGTATTTTGCATCCGCTTAACTCCTCATGCGGCTCCTCTACTTCCACCCTTCTTCACCTCCTTGCCCGATCCATCCACTTATATTCTCCCTTGACTTCCTCAACTCAGAAACCAAGCTCAAGTGCCTCTGGGTCCTCGGGGTCTTAGTCTCCTGATGTTGCCTGCCGCCGTTGGAAAACAAAAAGGACAAAGGCAAAGAGTCTCCTCCAACTCCAGACTCATGACAATCGAATGAGGAGTAAGGAGACGGGGCCAGGAGAGGATATATGTAAGGGGATAAGGAGGGGTATGGCCTGACTTGGTGTGATTTGGTACACAGGAAAAAAGGATATATCTCAAGGCAAAAAGTTCGTTTTAAAAGTGATATCAACTTCAGAGATTTTAGTTTAAAAGTTTTTTTTATACAGTTTTAAGTTGGCTATAAAGACTAGAAAATTTCTCTCAGTGCATATCCACAATCCACGGCAGCAGCATCTTTTTCCCTTACTTTTTTTTTCTGCTGATGAAGTTGAACAATTTGAGATACGAGCTGAGAAGGAAGGTAAGCGAACAGAAAGAGAAGGGCAGGCACAGTGGCAAGGGGTGAGAGTTGGGTTATATCCGCGCGGACGGAATGGACCGTAAGGGACGGACGGACTTCAGACTAAAAGACAGCGGACTGCAAAACTGAAAACTGAAGACCAAAGACTGTGTGGAACGTTCATTTAGTTGCCCATGGCCATGGCAGGCAAAACCGTTTTCTGGCTACCCGGCTACCAGGCTAAAAAGTTCCTACACTCAGCTTCAATCTCTTCCAACTGCTCCTTCCCCTACTCTCCTCAGCACTCCCTCTCTCGCACAAACAATCAAGATGCTAAAAATGAAAAAGTTTTTTGCGACACACACACACACGCAAATTTTTCTTCAATTTTCCTTCTGTTGCCGGCTAAATAGTTGATGAATTATGCGACAGCTGGGCGGGAAAATTTGTGTTAAATTTCATTTTCACATAGAGGAAAATAAATTATTTATTTTAGTTTGTTTAGTTTGTAGAAAAAAAACTGATTATTAAATGGGAAATGGATTTAGATAGGTTTGAGAGCGATTTGAAAGGATATTATATTGAGTTACAGTTTTATAGTTACTTTAAGTTTTAGAAGTACTATAGGTTGTAGAAGTACCATAAGTTTGGGAAGTACTTTTATAATTTTACTAAAAGAACTAAGCAACTTTTTTAGGAAATATTCTTAATAAAGAATTTATTTATATATCTCATTTAATATACAATTTTTTCACTGTGTGTGCGAAAGTTCAGTTTCAATTTATTTTAATTGCGCTGACAGTTTACGATCTCCCCTCTGCCCTCATCTCCCTCGCACGACTGCAATCAAAAGGAATAAATGAGTGAGCGGATGAGAAGGCGACTGTGGACAATAAGTGGATGTGAGATGGTAAAAGGGAAGGGGTAAGGGAAGGGTAGACCGGCAGGCAGCAACAGCAGGGTGGTGCATGACCATAATCCGACTCTTAACTCTTTCACCGATTCCCTGCCCGGCGGCGGGGCCTTTTTACCCGCCATCGCCGCTCCTCTTTGGCTCATACAATTGTCGGAGATTTATGAACGCCTCTCTTGCGCTTTAAATTGAATTCAATATTTTCCAGGCGCGCGCAGCACAGTGTTGCAAGCAACAACAACAACAACAACAAGCAAATTGTAAACAACAAAGTTTTTTGTGTCCCGTTGACAGTTGCACTTTTTTTTTGCACATTTTCATGGCTTTCTTTTTTCGCGCTGAAATGGAAGAGTTTTTTCTTTTCATTTTTCGCCTTTTACCTACACAATTTTTAGCTGGCTACGTTTTCAAGAGGTGTGAAAGGCTTTGAGTGGGTGTGTGCCGCCAACGCTAACAATTGAAATGTTTTTCCACCTATTTCCTGAGTTTTCTCATTTAACCAATTAAAGACAAAAGACAAAGTTGCATACCTGCAAAGAGAAGGAAATTGGAAATTAGTTGGAATTTTAGGTAAATAAATGGGTAGACTTATAAATAGTAATCCGTTAATCTTAATCCGTACTCTTAACCTATATGTGTCGTGACTTTTCCTCTTCGATATCCCCCCTTTCTTGATGCTTCCAATTTGCGAATATCTGAGTAATTTTCGCTTCTTCCTGCCCCTATTATTACCAAAATAGGTTCACTGGGAAATGGCAGGTAAGGCAGGTAATCTCCGGAGTAAAATCCAAAAGGGTGCCGGTAAAGTTGTCTGTCAAGATAAATTTTCGCACCTTCCACAGGGAATTTACCTCTCTTACTTCAGCTTGCAGCTCAGTTTAACCAAGTTTTTCGTTGTTTTTTTTTTGTTCAAGCTTTATGTGGTTAGTGGCTATAGCAGTGGCAATCAGGGTGAAGCATAAAAAGGAACATCAAGGACAAAAATAAAGCTGGTGAAGCGAACTTAAACCGCAGCTATAAGGTGTAAGGTAAAGAAAAAACCAGTGACAAACTTAGGGATTGAAAAAATCTTTGAAAAACTCTTATTAACCGCAAAAACAAAAGCAACATCAAGAGTATCAGCTACTTAAACTTTTAAGGGCAAACAGCAACCACAGCAACATTAGCAACACAGAAGCAACACTAAAAACAGCTAGAATGAGAACTTGAAACTCATACCATTAACAGCAGCAACATTAACAATAGCAACATTGAAAACAGCAACATTAACAACAGCAACATTAACAGCAGCAACATTAACAGAAACAACATTAACGACTTGAATTCCTTTAGCAGCAACATGAAAAACATCAACTACAATAACAAAAAAAGAAGCAGCAGCAACAACAACAGATGCAACATAAACAACAACTGCAATACTAGCTACACCAGCAACACTAGCTATACCATAAGCAACAAGAGCAACATCAGCAACAACAGCAGCAGCAACAGCAACATGAAAAGCAATAGCAACACAAGCAACAACGCCAACAAGCAACACACAAGAGATGCCCCCACGTTGAAAATTCAAAATGTTTTCGTTTGAGTAAGCACAACAACAACAACAACAACAATATTAGCAGCAGCAACAACAACTTTCGACACGGTGAGTTGGCTACGTTGTTTCTATAGTTGGTTGTTGTTGCTGCCATTTTCGCCGCCAGGGCGCTACATTTTGTTGTTGCCTCTTTTTTTTTCTGTATTTTTTTCACATACAATTTGCTGTTGTTGCCTCTTCTGCGCCAGTCAATTCAATTTGAAGCCATTTAGCATCAATTTGCAGTAATTTGACGTATAAATTATGTCAAATTGCCGAGCAGCTTGTCATTGGGTGTATTTCGTTGTTGTTGTTGTTGTTGTTGTTGCTGTTCTCACTCCGTCAGTCGCTCGTTTTCGGTTCCTTTGTTGTTGCTTTTGCACCTTTTTTTTTGTAGTACCCTCCCGATTTTTGTTGTTGTTATTGTGTGAGAGATTGTGCCCGCCAGGTAAAAATCCGAAAAAAAGAGGGAAGGCAAGGTAAGGTAGGCAAAGGCAAGGGAAGAAGACAAGCAAGAGGTGAGGAAAGGTGCAGAGCAAAAGCGGCATCATCATCATCATCAAGTCCCAGTTGCCAGTTAAACAACCGCCAACCCTTCGTCCTTCCCTCTCTAAAATCCATTGTGTGACTCGGTCTTTAACCCCCCCACCACTCTTTGCCATGGCACTGAGAGAAAATATTTGGGTTAGTAATGAATTTCTTAGATTTTTATGGGGTTAATATTTTGACTTTCTAAGCATTTTTATGATTAGTCTAATAAAAATAGCAAATTTAAAGATTTTTTTGTATTTCTAAAACCAAAAATCTAAGTTTTTAACATTTAAGTATCAGAAAAGCTATTATAATAATAAATACACATTTTTCTCTCTCTGTAAACCTTATTCTCCCCTTTTTCTCTGCGGCACGTTCGGCAGTGTGTGAATTTTATTTTCGCTTGTCGACACAAAAGAATTTCACTTAATACTCAAACGAACGCACACACTCGCAAGCACACACACACACATATAGGGATAAGGGTCCGCACAGAGCAGAGGTTGAGCAGTAAAAAGTGCCTCATAAAGCCGATATATAAACTAATGCCAGAACGGCAGGGGGAGCGGAGCAGAGTAGCGCTGGCAGCGAGGGCTGAAAACGAAGAGGGGCAAAAATTTTTACGCTTTTGTGAATGTTAACATTCAAAGATATCATCAAAAAATTCACTGGAAACGCTTGTACAATAATAAAAAAAAAACACACACACAAAATCAAGAGGCAGCAAGAAGCTGACAATGCAGAAGCAGCATCGAAGATCGTTTTCCCCCTCGAAGAGGAGAGAAGGAGAGAGCAGAGAAGCAGAGGATTTTGTCGCCTCTTCTTTTGTTGGATGAGTTGCTGTTGCCGTTCACGCGTCGTAAACTCGGTAGCAGTCGGCAACACCAACAGATACAACAGCCACAAAGACAATGCACAGGGGGGAAAAACTTCCGCAAAAAAAACAGAAGAACACTGATAAAAAATACATGGCAAATATATGTACATGAAAAACAAGAAAAACTCTTGAACTAAAGATAAAAATACATTTTAAGATTGTAAAAAGTCTTTAGAAATGATTAGTTTTATAACTTTTAAAGTTATTTACTTAATTACTAACTAAAAATGTTAAAAATTTTCATTCTCCTACAAACCAAAAACACAAATAAAGACAACAAACATTTTGAGGTGAAGAGGCCGAAAGGGAACCTGTCATCAACAGAGACATGAGATATGTATGCACGTTTCCCTTTCTCCAGCATTTTACTTTCCTCATGGCTTTTCCCGTCGCACTGCAAGCCATTTGAAGAATTTCCATTTGCATTTTAATTAAGTGAATGGACAAATGACCCAAGGGGCCGAAAGCTAAACGGGGGTGGCCAATGGCCAATGGTCGGGCAGAAAACTTTATTATCTGAACAAGCAATTATGCATATCATAAAACACTTTAAACATTAATGAGTGTCGGCGCTGGGCGGCGGCAGCAGCGGCATGAAAAACACAGAGATGGATCCGAAAGAGAAAGGGAAAACGACGAGTCATCTTTGGGATGCTAAAGGTACTTACAGCTTCTTCCCACTTTGCGAACTACAAGACTCCAAAGGGAGACTCGTTTATATTTCATTCAACCACTTGGCCAGATAGCTAAAGGCCTCCCAAGGGGCAGATGAAGATCTTAAGTAGGGGGTGAGGTATACGAATAAATTATGAAAAAAATTATGATATTCCAAAGCTTTGATGTTAATAACAATAGAGAATAAATGTCAACAAAATGTTTAAATTAAACATTAAAAGCTTTATGGTTCATCAGAATTTCCATCCTTAAGTAAACTTTTCAAAAACTAACAATCTAAGTATTTTTTATATTTATCTTACTGTCTGTATTTTTGTTCATATCCACACTTGTCTTTGAGTTTCTTTTGTTTTCTACTTTAACTTAGTAAATATAACCAATTGGCAATTCCAAAAATAGCAAACAATACTTGAAACTTGGATATTTATTTGCCAAATTAAAATATGCTTATTTATTGAGTATGGTTTTTCTTTGTTAATCTCACGTTTCCGTTTGATTGAATCAAACATGCATAAATCACTGGTCTGGCTCCACTGATTTGCATGTCTATCGTTTATCGTCGGCATTGCCATCTCTAAGTGGACAGGCAAACAAGAGGAAAACGCGAGCAGCAGAAAGAGACGCCCCCAAAACAGATTCGGTTAGTTAGTTTATGGGCAAAGTCAGCGTGTTGCCACTTTATTGCCTGCTTTACATTTCTGTTAGTTTTTGGTCCGCACCCGGGGGCACACAAACACATCTACACACGTATGTATAAGCCAGCAAGCCAGAGTATGTGTGTGCAAAGTCGTGTTATGCTTTGCGGCCAAATTAAAATTCGACTTAATCGTTTAAACATTTAAAAGGCAAACTAAAAGCCAGCAGGCGTCGCAAAAGTTTCCCATTCCCCCCCGCAGTCTCCTTTACGTACTACTCCACCATTCACCTCCTTCTCTACGACCTGCTTCTCCATCACCTTCTCCTTCTCTACGACCTCCTTCTCCACTACTTCCATCTCCTCCTCCTTTTCACCCATTCCCATTCCCCTGCCAATCTCCTTCCTTTTCCTCTTCCTTTTTGCTTTTTTTGCATGCGCAGCTCAACATGCGCCAAAAGTTGTAGCTGCCTGTTGCTGTCTCTGTCGCACAGCCAGGCTTTAATGAGTGAGCGCCATACAACAAACATGGCTGCCACTGCTCGTTGACTCTCTCACTCTCTTCTCTCTCTGTCTCTCTTTCTGTCTTTCTCCTTCTTGCTCTCCAAAAACTCCACTCCGAAGAGCAAAAGAGATGGCCTGAATGGAGATTTTTACGGGATAAATACACCAAGTGAAAGAGAAAGAGAGTGTGCGAGTGATGGGACAGGGAGAGGGCGAGCGGGGGAAATGCTCTTTTTGTACAATTCAAAAATGTTAATTAAAATTTAAATGCTTACTGGGGACGACCCGTGGCAAATTAAGTTTTGATTGATTCATCACAGGACCTTCTGCTGAACAGGCAGGAAAAATGAAAAAACGTGGCATATAAAAAGTTGCCTTGACAATCGCCGGGAGTTTCAATTACCGCGAAAAATATCTTAACTACCGCTTTGGGGTAATAAACCCAAATGGTCCGGAAAATAAATGTGTATATTAAAGCATTAAATATATATGTATGTGTGAACATTAGCTGCAGCAGCTAAATTATAAATCCAATTTATGGGCCATTAGATTTTGCGGGGTTGCCAGAAAAAAAAACCCAAGTTTACGGACCAAAAGAAATTTTGGCTGAACTGAAAGCAGCTTGTTTACTAATTTCCATTTAATGGCGTTTTTCTTTATGGATTTTCGTCTTGCATTTTAATTGTTGGGAAATTATGGATTTGTGTTTTGATCTTCGTACGGGTAAAGGTTAATGACATTTTTTTATTGACTTTCGTAATAAATTTTATTTATTGGCCATGAATTTTAAGTTGTCCCTAAACAATGGTTTATTGGTTAGAAAGAAAAGCTGCTTAAATTATTAATAAAAATTTCTGTTTAATTTTTTTTACATATTGAGTTTAGTTTCTCTAACATTTGGCATGACTTTGGTATAGATTTTAGCTGATTTATTAAAAAGTTTTTTTGATTTAAAGAAGCTGTTCTCCATTTAAGTTAAATCATGGGCGTAGCTCTTACGTTTCGATTTAGTCATTAACCCAGCACAATTTAGTAATGCTAATTTAGTTGTTTTGGCCAAGATTACGCCTAATGCCAAGCTGACATGCAATAAAAGACTTTGTTTTCCATTGTTTTTGCCTTCCTCACTCTTTTTTTTTTTTTTTTTTGGAAAGGTTTCCACCTCTGACAAAAGAATTCCAATTGAGTAGGGGGGAGGGTAGGTAAGAGAGGCGTCTCACCTAAGACTCCGAAGAACTCGGTGGCAGTGTTGTTGATAGCAATCAACATCAATTAAAGCAGCTGTCTGTCTTGTTGTTGGCCATGTAATTATATTTGCTGCTGCGCGTTTTTGGCTTCATCATCATCATCATCATCATGGTCATTAACCAAGCATTGTGCACCGCCAGCAACATGTTGCTGCTACTACTACTGCTGCGCCTCCATGTGTCCGTCAGTCAGTTCTGATGGCAACTGTTGATAATTATAATCCGCTTGTGGTTAAAATGGTGTTGCCTACCTTACTGGCGATAAGCGCGCATGAATAATTATGTTGCCGCTGTCTCCAAGTCGTTGCTTCTGCTGCTGCTGCTGCTGCTAATGCTGATGTTGCTGTTGCTAATGCTGATGTTGCTGTTGCTGTTGTGGCAATGTCGCCTGCGCGACAACTCATGAATAATTAATGCACTGCCGCGACTGGGTTGAAATGTTGCTGCAGCAGCAACAGCAGCAACTTGTCTTGGTATCTTTTCAATTACAGTAGGAAATCGTGAATTACAACCAGACCAGAGCCAGAGTTGGCCATAAAATAGCAAAGAGCTGTTGTTCTCATTGTTGATTAAACTTGACAGTCGGTTATTGTTGCTGTGCAAATATTTATTAAATACACAGCGAAATCTCCTCAGAGGGTGCCGACAACAATTAACACTTGAATGGAAGCGGCAGTAGCAGTAGCAGTCGTCTCTCAGTCGCAGCAACTATTATCAAACTCAATTTGAATAAGTTCGCTCGTGACACAAAAGTAAAGAAGGGGCAGCAAAATGCTGAAATTCCCACCTTAAATTAAATAAGCAATGAGTTTGTCTCGCAAAAAAAAAAAAAAAAGGTTCGGGGCGGTCGGACAATTGGCACTTGAAAGGCATCAAGATACAATGGCAATAACTGCAGCAGCAACATCAGCAGGGGAGACAGCAACGGCGGCAGCGGCAAACAAGCTAAACAAGTATTGCTGCTGTGCCGAGAAGCAGCAGCAACATCAGCAGATAAAAGGCAGACAAAAGGCACGAGATGTGAGAGACGACGTCTAGGGTTGCCTGTTTCGATGCTGCCCCTGCTGCATGGGAATTGAATTCCATTCAAAAGACGGCAGCAGGCTGTTTGTCATACTTGCAACAGCAACAACATTGGCTAAGAAGCAGAACCCAGTGAAATGGCTTACATGCATTTCTCTGCCTCTCTTCCAGTCAGGCAGGCAGGCAGGCGTGTTGAGGTGTGTTGAGATAGCATCTTGCATAAAATTACTGCCAGTGGTAGGAGCAACATCAGCATCTCCACCAGCAGCAGAAGCAGCAACCAGCAACAGCAGCAGCAGGAGCAACAGCAGCAGCCACCAGCGACGTGGTTGCCTGATGCTATGCCACTGATAGCCTCGAAATTGTTGGCAGTTGCAATTTGCTGTTTGGAATTTTAAGCGAGCCAACAATGAAGTTCAAGCCAAAGCAAGGAAAAAAAAAAAAAAAAAAAAAGCGTAAAAAAACTGAACAAAAAGATAAAAAACTGAGAGAACCCAAAGGAAGAAGAAAGCCAGTGAGGAGGAGCCCGACAGCAACATCATTCTCATGCTCATCAGCAGGAGCAGCAGCACCAGCAAAAAGTTTAACCCTTCTCGGTTTTCGAATTTTGATTGCCTTTAAAAAACAAGAAAAAGAAGATTCGATTTTTTGGGACAAAGGAAGTCTAGATTGTGGCCAACGAAATTGCTTTCACTTATAGTTTTAGGGCGGAAACTGTGATGTTTGCATAATGCTGATAACTTTATTGAAAAGTCATTAAAAGGAAGGTCGTAACTCTTTTTCCTATTTTCCTTTTATGACGACTACTTAGTGGTTTCTTAAAATGTTGCACTTCATGTTAGAAGGAGAAGTTTCTTAAAAATATGAAGAAACCTTCTATCTTAAATATTTTTTAAGCCATTTTATGTTTATGTAGAGAAAATCTGAACTATCTTAAAGCTTAAAGCCTAAATAATGTCAATTGAGACAAGAAATGGCATTACAAGTCTTAAAAGCAAATCTCTTCATTTCAGTAAATTACATAAAAAGCATTTCATGAAGTAATTTATTAATTAATTTCCTGAATAATTAGCTTCATAAGAGTGCAAAATCCTTTCCAACTTCATTTTCACATCCACTTTGTAGCCTCTTTTCAGGTGCAAATGGGTTAAGTTTTTGGCTTCTCCTCAATCGAAGTTTTAGCCTGCGCTAAAATCGAGACCTGCGATTGCAATAAAAGTCAGCAGGCAGGCACTGATGTGTTGCTCCTGCCCGCCTCCTATCCATGCCACATCTCCCCCCAGCCATAGCCGTAGCCACATCCAGCTCCTGGCTGAAACTTCTGCTCCTGCCTCCTTCCTTCTCCCATTTGAATTTCATTCCCAATGCCTTGATGGTGCCTTTCGTTTTTATTTATTTTTTATTTTTCAGCTCGCTTCCATTCAATTTTTGCTGCTGTTGCTGTTGCTGCTGCTCCTGCTGTTGCCTTTCTGCCATCTGAGCTTTTGCATAAGCCCGCAGTTCATTTGAGAGAAAGAAAACAAAACTAACAAAAAACTGAATAAAAAACTGCAAAAATCCAAACAAACCAAAGGCGAGGAAAAAAAATCGAAATAAGATATAGTCGGGCAGCGGCAACAGCAGCAGCAGCTAGCACGATTTATGTTAATCAGACAAGAGGCAAGAAGGGTAAAGGAGAGGGTAGAGGGGGATTTAGAGGGTATTCAGCGCCAGCCAGGCAGTTGCATTCAATCATCTTTTATCTGGCAGGCATCGTTGGATTTTGTTTGGGATTTGTGTTTTCTTTTCGGTATTATGTATCGCTTAGTTGCATTTGGCGCACTTTCGGATTTATACCCCTCCTCCTCCCTCTTTGCTTTCTTTTCTATCTCTCTTTCAAGTCAAAGTTTTTATTCGTGTTTTGGCCGCTGCAAGACTTCAATTTGATTCGCCTGTATCGATTTGATTTCAATTTGCCAAATGCCTTGGCTATTTATCTCAATGACTCACTCGCTGCTCTGTCCCTTCCATTTTGGCCAGTTTGCTCAGTCAAGGTGAAAGTAGCTTTTCAAATGGGGAATGTTAAAGGCTATAAAAGGCTATCAAAGTGGGTAATTTGATTCTACTTTTGGTTATCTGAAGGGTTATTCTATCTATTACTATTAAGATAAACTTTTAAATAACTATAATTAGGACTTAATCACGTTTATGAAGCATAATTAGTCACAACTTACACACCTTTCATGTTAAATTTTGATAATAAATCAGCGAAATTCAATACCAACCTGCAATGAGAAGAAAAATAATATTCCATTAATTAAAATTGCAATTAAACAGTCAAAAATACTGCATGAAGGTATACATTTTCATTTCATTTTCCAATAAAATCCATCAAAATTGTCGGAAATCCAAACAAAAAAATCCCAAAAATAACCAAAATGAGTTATCAAGAAAACCGATTAAATGAAAAGCTGAAAAATATCTAACGACTGGAAAAATCATTCCTTAAATCCATTTTAGCAAGTTGAATTTTAAGTGCCCCACAGCAGCTCTTTCCTGTTCATATTTTTACTATTTTTTTTTGTTTAGTTTTTTGGGATGCTTTGCTTTCCCCTTAAATAATTCACAAACATTTTCAGCCAAAATGCTCGCAAAGAGAAAAAAACATATATTTTCCTTTTATTTTTCCATTTGTGTGCTGTGCAGTTTATAGCAGGGAAAAGCGAATGCGAATAAACTGAAAAAAAGAGTCTATTAGGGTGTGTCAGGTTGTAAACATTTGTTTTCTATTTTTGGATAAAACATTCTAAAAATATTTGATTTTTATCTTCTGATTTTTCAATGGACTTAACTTTGTTTGCCATTTTGCTAAGAAAATAATCATATTTGCCTTTTCAGGTCACTTAGCTGGTATAAGTGTGACCTTGCTCATAAAAATAATGTCTAATTTAGGGTTGTTATAAAATTTATTTTATTTTTTCTTGTGATTTAAGTTTATATTTCTATGTTTGCTGCTCAGTTTGACTGAAAAATATTCTTTATATTTGATTTATATTATCAGCTGGTCACTCTGTGGGAACAAGTGTGACTTTAATTATAAAAAGAATGTAAAATTTCGTTTATTTTATATAATTTTAATATTTTTTATCTTCTAATTACTTTATTAGTCTATATTCCTATGTTTGCTGGGCAGTTTGACTGAAAAATATTTCTAATATTTGCTATTTATTTTTAACTGGTCACTCTGTAAGTTCAAGTGTGACCTTATCATTTAAAATATTTTAATATTTTATTAAAATTTTGTTACTTTTTTCATTTTTTAATAATTTTTGATTCCTTTTCTTGCTTTGAAGTTTGACTATAAAATCAAAATAATATTTCCTAAATTGCGTATTATTTCAAGCTGGTCACTCTGAGAGTGATCTTACTCATAGAAATAAAACCAAATTTAGGACATTTCCTATTATTTGAAGTTTTTTCTATATCTAAACCCTTGGCTCACCCTAACTATGTGAATAACATGCGAATGACTCGCTGACTGAATGGCTGAAATGCTAAAATGACTGAATGCCTGCCCGTCCGACTGTCCGACTTGTACTGCTCTCTACAACCTCCCACCCCCCCCCCACTCCTCTTCTTCTTCTACGCCATGCTCTATGCAACGCTAGGCAACAAAAAAAAAACAAAAAGTAAAGTAGAGGAAGAAGATATATAGTAGTTGTGCCATTTTTGCGCTTTTCATGCACTTTTTGCGCCGGATGTGCAGTGCGGGGGAAAATGCCGAAAAAAGAGAGCGCACACAGCAGAAGAAGAAGAAGAAGAAGAAAATTGTAATTTCAACAAAGCAACGAAGAAAATGGCAACAAAAAAAAAAGCAGAACTTTAGGTACACCCACACGCCCACCTCACTATTTTACAATTTTTTTTCCTATATAGTTTTGCTTTTATTTTTCATTTTTTATTTTCATTTTCATTTTTTTTTTTGTTCCCTCCGTTGAACTAAAAACTTTTCGCCCAACGCCAACGTTCGAGTGGGCGTGGTAAATGCGTTTTTGATGCTGCTTTTTTCGATGGGTGGGTGGGTGGTTGTTGGTTGGTAGCATTTTTTTTTTTATATTTCTGCCACTGGGCACTTGGCAAGTTAAAGCATTAAGCTGATGCCAATTATGCATTGTTTGCCAGCTCCATTCCCCCAGTTTTTTTTGTTTCCAACAGCTTTTTCAGCTTTACAGTTTTCAGGAGCAATTGTTGTTAACCCTCTTCGGTTGGCTTGCTATCGCTGTTGGGCAAAATTGAAACAACTTTTGCAATTACTTTCCGTAAACAAAACAAATGTGCTCGAGTCACGCAATCGCCGCTGTCCCTGCCTCCTGCCCCTTGCCACTGCTACTGTCTCTCTGCCTCTGTCTCTGTCCCCAAAACAATAATTACCCGAGCATTGTTCATGCATACATTCATATAATGGTAATGACAATAACGAGGTTGAGCGGTTTTCCAGGCGTAAGGGGAGGGGGGCTTAGGGATGTGGTAAGTAAAAGCAAAAAGGTTGGGGAGGGGAAAAAGTGGCAACAGAGGGTTAGGCCAGTGTAGAGGGTTGTCCAGGGGTTGACAGGTGGTGGAGGGAAAAAAGTTGCTCGTCTTGAACAAGTTGTTAAATTGTTATTTTAGCGCTTTGCGTTTTTAACCCCCCCACCCTCCCCCTCTCACTTTCCTTACCCTTTCCCACTGCTTAACAGTAGAACTTCAGGTATGTACAGTACAGTAAACGCCCACAAATAAAGAGCACTAATTGAAGTGTTTTCCACCCTTCAATCATGTTGCAAGCAGCAGGCAAGAATATGCAAATTTCTCAAACAGTTATGGCCAAAATTCTAGCACTTAATAGGGAAAATTGTAAAGGAAAATTAAATATAAACTATTTTTGGTTAAAAAAAAATATAAATTAATAATAAAATATATAAATAGTTAATAACTTAACCCTATTACACCCACTTTCCACTTTCCATTCAAAGAAACTGCGTTTTTCCCTCTCTCTTATTTGCATTTAACAAAGCTAGCTGTGTGGCATGCAACAATTTTATTATTACGTTTATTTGACTTGCATATGTGCATACACAAGCAGTATTTTGCACAGGACATGCCGCCAGACAGGACATGCAGAAGGATTGCAATTTCCATTGTTGCCTTGCCTTGCATGGCCTGGCCTGGTTGCCTGAATGGCTCGTAAATCCTCAGAGAAACCGAGATACTCACGCATGCCTTTGCCTTTAGCAATTCTATTAAATTTCCACTCTCTTCTCAGCTCCCCACCCTACTCTCCATTTAATTACAAACTGCAATTGACATGGAATTGTTTTCACTGGCCAAAAACTGGGAGACCAGCAAAACACCTTCATTGTAGATATTCTAGTGTTGTCCTGAAACTGCTACTAGAGTACTTCTATACTGCCTAGACCCCATTTTTCACCCACTCGATAATTCAATTATGCATGCCATTTAATGTGTCACTGTGTGTGTGAGGTTTGCTGGTGTATGCGTGTAGAGGGAGGGGAGGAGAGGGGCGAGGATGAACTCAACTAATTTCAATTTTCCATAAAGCGAACATTGTCCTAGGCCAAACCGCACCCAATCTAATCAATTTTGCATATACTGCACAAATTATATTTGTGTTTTGTCCACTCCATTTTCCAATTCAAATATTATTCCTCTGATGGTGTTTGTATGTGTGTGTGTGTGTGTGTCTGTGTAGTATTTGTCTTAGTGTGCGTGTTATGTGGTTTTCACTCCTTCCTGCCCCGCTTCCAACAACCCAGTCACGCATGGCAGTCGAGTAAGAGAATTCCGAAAACCAAATTGAGAAATGCCTTTTTATGGAAATTTCTTGGCTCGGTTTTTCAGCTACAAACTACAGTAGCTGGCGAGTGAGAGATGAACTGATTTGGCTGGGAAGTGATTGGGTTTTTAAGTAGTTTTTTTTTTAGTAAAAAAAAGTCTAAGTTTAAATTATATCAAAAAAGTCTTTAATAGTTTAGCAAAAGAAATAATGAAAAATATTAGGTTGTCAAAAAAGTCTTGCGGTATAAAATTCGTATCAATAATGCGATTCAAGTCAAATAATCGCCGTTTTGTTCGATGACACGTTCCCAACGAGGTGCCAACTTCATAATGCCCCTCTCATAGAAGCTCGCTTCCCTATTGGCAAAAAACTCGGAGCGTGGCCCATATTCGACCACCTCTACACCACAACGAAAACGTTGATACCATCGTTGTGCGGTGGAAATGGAAACTGTATCGGGTCCATAAACTCCATAAATTTTATAGGCTCGAGATGCACTTTTACCTTTATCGTAGTAGTACTGTAAAATATGTCATATATTCTCTTATTTTGCTCCATGATTGCGACGCTGTAACTCACGAACGACTTTAAAGAAAAGACGCGTAAAATGAGCTTTCCAAAAAGGTATAGTATGACCTGATGCGACGAATAAAACAAGAACTAAGAGCTTTCAGCGCCAACTAGCGAAAATAACGCAAGACTTTTTTGACAACCTAATATTTAACATTAAGTGGAAAAACAGATTAAAAATTTATAAAATTTTTAGGAATATAAATATTAAAAAATATTTAACATTAACTAAAAAAATGAAACATCTTAAATATTATGCCTAGAAAACTAAACTTTTCTCTTTAAATTGAAATTTTATTTCCCTGGCTTTTTGCCCATTTTAATTTCTTTTACTAAAATTCCTAATTTATTAGGTGTACTTATTAAATATTGAAATTTAGCACTTAAACTAAGTGCGCTAATAAATGACTTTTAATATTATAATATTATTAGTTCCTGTACCCTATTTATAGATTTTACAAAGCATATTTCTTTATTTTTCATTTCACAGAATACGTTTACGTATTTCCACCTTCCCTCAACCCATTTAAGCTCCAAACTTCTCTCCTCTGATTTTTGTTCTTTAAAAATTAACAAAAAAAAAATCACTTAGCTGTCAATGTTCCAATTAACATATTTCCCTTGCTCATTTATTTAGCCAACATTTGCATTTCATTGCCGAACGAACGACCGCCCACGCCTTAAATCGAAAACCAAAAAACCAAAAAACCGAAAACCAAACAAAATAAAATGCCTTCACACACTTTCGAGTTCAATGTCTCTTCTTGATAAATTAAAGCAAAGTCAGCCAAGATATATATAAATACGATTCTGTCATTTTTGAATGAAGTCTAAATTTAAGTTAATGATTTGCAAAATTTACCAAAAATTTAACACAAC